TTAGAAATTGAGCTCCCATTTGACCCAGCAATACCACTCCTGGGGATATACCCTGGAAAGGCAAAAAAGTATAGTTGAAGTGACATCTGCACTTGTTTGTTCTCAGCAGCTCTGTTTAGAATATCTAGAATCTGGAAAAAACCTGAGTGCCCGAGATTAAAGAAACTTTGGTACATATACACAATGGAGTACTATGTAGCTGTTAGAAAGGATGAAGTCATGAAATTTACGTACAAGTGGTACTACATGGAAAGTATCATGCTAAGCAAAATGAGTCAGAAAGAGAGGGACAGACATAGAAAGATTGCATTCATCTGGGGAACATAAAGTAACAAAATAGGAGACTAACACCCAAGAATAGCCAAGATAAATACCAGGAGGTTTACTCCATGCCTTGGAGGCCAGCCGCACACTCTAGGGGTAAAGGCAGCTCAGACAGAGAAAGGACCACCAAATAAAGGGTGTTGGGAGGATCCTCCCAGGATGGGAGATGTATGCTGACAGTAGACTATAGACCAAACACGATTGCTACTCAATGCCTCTTTTGCAAACTACAGCACCCAAAAGGAGAGATAGAACAAAAGGGAGTGCCCTGCCACAGAGGCAGGGTGGGATGGGGGGATGGGGGGTGGGAAGGATGATGGGATCATTGGTGGTGGAGAATGGGCACTGGTGGAGAGATGGGTACTTGATCATTGTATAACTGAAACCTAATCACAAAAATGTGTTAGTCCATAACTGTACCTCATGGTGTTTCACTAATAAAAATTTTTTTTAAAAAAGAAAAACATAAAGGATTTCAATTATATTGATCACTCACAATGTGTTAGCTACTGGGTCTTGTGTTTTCTACATAAAATTATTCATTGCAAGATCTCTGTGAAGAAGGAGGATAGTGTTAGAATTATGGAAACTAAGTATCAGAGTGGTTAATAAATTTTCCTGGTAAAAGAATATATGCATATATGGTAAAAGAAAAAGTTGCATATATGGTAAAAGAAAAAGTTTGTATTCCATTCATTCCACTCTTATATTGTTGTATAAAAACAAGATAGATATAAGGACCTATATAAAGATATAGATATGCTTTTATACTTTATGTAGAAGTAATACCGGAAGGGGCTAGATCAACTGCACAGCGGGTAGGGCGTTTGCCTTGCATGTGTTCGACCCGGGTTTGATTCCTTCACCCCTCTTAGAGAGCCCGGCAAGCTACCAAGAGTATCCCGCCCTTTGCAAAGCCTGGCAAGATACCCATGGCATATTCGATATGCCAAAAACAGTAACAAGTCTCAAAACGGAGGTATTACTGGTGCCCGCTCGAGCAAATTGAAGAACAACAGGAGGACAGTGCTAGGACAGTGCAGTGCTAATACCGGAAGAAAAGACTCATAGTGGGAAACTTTCTACAGGTTTTGCTCTTAGCAAGGTTAGTGTTCCCGACATCTAACAATATGAAAACAGAAGGAACCAAGGAGAGTGAGCACAAACTAAGAAGAATAGATGACATGCTATATAACTGGCATACTACCCAGCAAGTCTTGGTCCTGAAACCTAAACCTTTTACATTTGTACCTAATACAAATGTAAATATATTATTTTTGTTGCTAAAGTAGGGTGAGGATAACAGTTTAGGAGACAACAGTCATTGAGAAGATAACTTGTAATTAAATGTCAAGAGGAGTGGAAATGCCATGCTACAGCTTCACTGAAGAATCACTAGAATTGGTCAGGAGTCTGAAGAATCAAGGATAAAATAAGAACAAGAGCCTTCAGTGTGGTTTCTGGAAGAAGGGATTAATAAATCATGGAAAGCAGTCTGAGAATTGGTTATCTTGAATAATTTCAACGGGTTCTTGTTTTTTTTTTCCTTTTTGGATCACACCCGGCAATGCACAGGGGTTACCCCAACTCTTCATTCAGGAATTACTCCTGGCAGTGCTCAGGGATGCTGGGAATTGAACCCAGGTCAGCCACGTGCAAGGCAAACGCCCTACCTGCTGTGCTATCATGCCAGTCCCTCAATGGGTTCTTGTGCATAGCATCTATCCCTCATTACCTGGCACCTGGTTCTAGAAGGATAACTGTCACTGTCACTGTCCTCCCATTGTTCATCGATTTGCTCGAGCGGGTCCAATAACATCTCCATTGTGACAATTGTTACTGTTTTTTGCATATCAAATACGTCACGGGTAGCTTGCCAGGCTTTACCATGTGGGTGAGATACTCTCGGCAGCTTTCCAGGCTCTCCAAGAGAGAGTGGAGGAATCGTACTCTGGTCAGCCATGTTGACTGTGTGCAAGGCAAATGCCCTACTCGCTGTGCTATCGCTCCAACCCAGAAGGATAACAATAATGGTAATTTGAGAGCCTGAAAAAGATGATTGGGTATGAGCTCTGGACTAAATGGTTTGCATAAGAGAAAAATGTATCCAGGCCAGAGAGAAGTACTCCCTCCAAGGTTAGCATGATTTCCAGATGACAATTACCAACCAAAGAAACCAGGAAACAGATATTCCACGAAGATTCTATTCTGTGTCCATTTGGGTAAGCTCAGGGAGGGGTTGGAAATTAAGGGTGGAGATCATATTTGTTGCATATTAACCCTATGTGTTTTAAGCTTCATTAGTGAAGTGCCTCTTTTCCTCCTCCCAGAGAAACTTATAATGCTCTTATGAGCACCCCCCCAATCCCCTGAATTTATCTTTAACCTTTCTTTTATGCTTTATCTATCATTGTTATATCCCCCAAGTCAGCCTTTTTTATAAGCTAAAACTTCTGATGATTCTGGACTTTGAAGTGTATTATTTGCTTTTCTATTTCCTTTGTAGCCTTTTCATATTTTACTAGAGAGTAACGTTCTTTGCCTAAACACAGAAAGACTGTTAATGCTGTGCTCCTAATATTTGGGAATTGATTGATTCTAAAAATATAACTATTCCTGGGCATCCGTCATAATTACTTGACTCAGACTTCAGTTGCCATAGTTTCTAACACCCCCAAAAAGAGGGGTCCCACTGTGGGCCTTGAGTGGACCCAGGGTTAGCAGCAAAGCTACTCTGTAATTGAAATGAGACAATCAGATGGTCTTGATGTAGGTTATTATGACTTAAGAGAGAGGACCCCTATGGTGAAGGACAAGCTGAACCAGCCTGAGTACTTTGTCTGGGATTCATGTAAACCCCTTGCTTGCCCTCAGAGCCCAGAGAACTAAATTTAGAAATATATATCTCTTATATAAATATTTATCCAAATAACTGCAAGTATTAATAAGAATTAAATTTAATTGTTTAATTTGTACAACTAAAGGGAAAGAGAAAAGCAATATAGAAGTCACTGAGAAACAGAGCGTCTCCTTGATTTAATTCCTCCAAGAGAATTACCTCCACCAAAACACTTTACCTCTGTAAATGATCAATCACAACTACATGCAGTCCTATACCTAGAACCCCCTCAGATGTTCTGTAAGTATGCTAACAGCTCTACATTAAATGGGCCATTTTTATCATCTATCCGTGTGTCCTGTCTCTTTGTTCTTCTTCTGGGGAAACCTGGGGAGGCATCCACTGAATATATGCATTGCGCACACACACACTGAACACATAAAGTTACTCTGGAATCTTTGGTGGTGGGTCAAAAATAAGGTTCTCATCAAACTTTATTTCTAACTGGATCTTCATCCCAGCCATTCTCACTTATTTCTTTGTGCATGCCATCCACTCCAGAAAATGAGAGCTAGAATTTAGTGATTCAATAACATATTACTTCCCATTAGTCCAATTAGGTAGAATTTTTCTGTTCAGTGACAGGAAAGATAAAGCAAGTCTTTTCTACTCTGTTACTTTTTTCTTTCTTACTTTCTTATTTCATTTTGGGGTGTGGGGTTCATCCCTGTGCATGCTCAAAGCCTATTTCCAGTTTGATGCTTGGAGTTGCTCCACTTGGGGGATTATGTAGTACTGGCAATTTCAGAGTATGTATTCTAACACTTTGAATGGTCTTCTGACTTCTCTGGTTTTTGCCATCATGGTAAAGATGAACATGATAAAATATAACTTGAATTTGGATTCTCTAAGAAAAAATATAACATTTCATTTTGGTTTTTTGACTCAAAGATTTGGACATAAACAATATTTTTTTCTTTTATTAGTGGAACACCATGAGGTATAGTTATAGACTTACAAATTTTGTGCTTGGGTTTCAGTTATACAATGATCAAGTACCCATCGCTCCACCAGTGCCCATCATCCACCACCACGGGTCCCAGCATCCCCCCCACCCCCCAATCCCCCCGTCCCACCCTGCCTCTGTGGCAGGGTATTCCCCCTTGTTCTCTCTCTCTTCCTTTGGGTACTGTGCATAAACAATATTTTTAACTGGCCACAGACTGTCTTAGCTACTAGTTCCTCGAAGAAAAAGGAGAATTTTCACATTTGTTGTACTCTTACCAGTTAAATTCTTTCATCCAGAATTTTTTGATGCTTGCACAATAAGACACACCCAAAATGTATAAAAATGCTAACTTATGACATCATGTCTTTTCTTTTAATCTCAGATTGCTTAAACATTTATTCAAACATTGTCCTGTACTGGATTAATGAGACAATGACTGACGCCATATTGAAGCCAGGACTGTGCATTTAGTTGCCCTCTGAATAATTAGTATAGGAAATTGAGAATCTCCCATTAATAATTATTACTAATTAGTAAAGAGGTTGAGGACACAAAGAGATGAATTTTATCTATGTCTGAGCCAGACATGAAGAACATGTGGGGTCTTTAATCATCTTTGTGCAATCATCTTTATGATAAAAAGAAGTACCATAAAAACCATAGAATCTAACTCAGTCTATTTTGCCTTCCAAGATCAGGATGGTTTTGGAGTGTGGATTGTGGGAAGAGGGTTGGACAACGGAAGAGGAGAGACTGCCACAACAGGATGCTCTGGAGTTGTTAGTCAAAACAATCAGCTGCACCGACTGCAACACCACCAGGGAGGTATCAAATGTTCATTGTCAAGTTGATAAACTGGAAATAAAAAGTTAGATATTGATCAGGGCCCGTTATCTCTACACTTTTCTACTAGCCTCAGTAATTAGATTCATAAACTCAGGTCCATTTTATGTTACAGAAACTCTGACATCTGATTTTTTTGCCTGAAAACTTGCACTTCTGTTTTAATATGAAACATGAAAACATTCATTCATCAGCAGCACTTTAGCTTTTCCTGGGACCTTCCTAACTGACCTCAAGTCAAACACATATGAAAGAGTAAAATGTACTTTCAAGGCAGCTATCTTCCTGAGGTACCAGGCACCAGGGAGTATGGAGTTATCTTCCTCATTTCTTCTTTTGTTTTTGTTCTGGGGCCACACCCAGTGTTTTTCAGGGCTTACTTCTGCCTATGTGTTCAGGGATCATTCCTGGCAAGCTCAAGGAACCATGTGATGTGCATGGGATTGAAACCAGGTTGGCCAAATGCAAAGCAAGCATACTGTACTATTGCTTGGCCCATTTTTTTCTCATTTCTGAGGGGGTCCCTTAACCTTGAAGGAAGACATGATTTATTATGTCTTGAAGGGACTTTAAAGTCATGAAGGGACTTTAGGGAAGAGGAGAAGACTCACCACCTGCGGTTTTTTACCAGAGAACTGTGAAGATGTAGCATGCACTTCCTCTACTTTTTTCTCCTCGACCCTGTGATCATCCTGCCTGCTCCTTCCCACTAACTTTCTTACCACAATATGGGAGATATGGGAACATGATTATGTGAAACAGTTTTTCTTTCTTCTCTGGCCTCTTATCTGGACATGGCACCATAGAACAGAAATGACCGGGAGGAAGACATGTAGGTACTCATAGCATAGCAATTGCAGGTGAAGCCAATTAAGGGAAAGACTGTTTCTGTGATATTCAAAACATATTTTGAACTTAACCTCGCACTGGATTCACCAGGGACATTTTAAAATCATAACTTCTAACTCCTGCTTAAAGATATTTGTATTTATTAGTATAGTAGAGCATGGCCAGGGGCTTTAAAATCGCTCCACCTGTACATTTAGAGTGGGAGAGGACTCAGATAATTCCACTCATCTTGAGTGGGGTCAAGAACCTATAGCAAATGACTTTGGTCTATTGGGATAATAAGGGCAGGAGAAAGTCATAATAACCCTCAACTGGGAACTCCTTGGTTGGAAGTAATAGCTTGAACCTGTAGTAATGGTTGTTGCCTTTGTTCTTCTGGGTCTTTTACTAAGATTCTGTTAAGTAACTGTCCTGCCTATCTCTGCACAACCATCACCCCGGCCATAGTTTTAAAAAAGTAGAAATTGTCACACTTCATACTTTCTAGGAGTAAAATCTTGGAAAATGAGAACTAAAGGTGAGTTTTGGGGGTCCTTTTGGTTTTCATAAGGTATGAAGAATGTAAGCCTTCCTTTGGAATCCCAGGGCATTTTATATAGTTATCAATTAGAAGAGTTGCAATTATTGACTTGTGTGTGTGTTAAAAGTGAAGGAGTAGAAAACTGCCACATTTCTAGCTCAATAAAACAATAATATATTCAGGTATCTCAATTACTTGTATAAGACATTAGTTGATAAGTCTACATAATGCACTGCCAAATTACGTGATATTATGGGTCAAGATACCCAATTTGTTTTAGTCTCTTTTTAAAAAAATATTAACCCTTTTCAGCACTCAGACTTTGTCCTATTTGATTATTTCTGTTCCATTGCATCATTTTAGGGAATTTAGGAATCATGGGGTATCCCAAAGAAACAAGACCTGATGTAGCAGGTCTACAGTGGCACCTGGAATTTTGTTTCCTTTTTTGTTACATTACTATGACATTATTAGCCTATTGCTTTATTATTTTTACAGACTAATGCTTACACAGAGTATTATATGTTTAATGCAGTGTTAATTTGATATATTCATGTGTTGCAACATTACTACATAATGCATTTCATTTTTGTGGAGAATATATAGTCTCTTAGCAACTTTGAAGTTTATATCAGGTTTATTTGTTTACAATCATGATGTGGTGATCTGAATTTTTAACAAAATCCCCTAACTGTCCCCTCTGCTAATCCAAAGATCACATTATAGCAGCTGGAAGAGAGCTATCTATTTCTAGGACTCCTCTTGCATCAGAAATATTAATCCATTAGTACTTTCATTATCAGTTTTTTTGGCACTGTTCAATGTTTCTGTCACTTAAATTGGAAAAAATCCAGGAAGTCTTTGATGATTGAAAGACTAAGTCCCTCCACCTAGCAGCCAGTGCCCAGGACTGTTTATTGTGAAAAGAGCTGGTTTTTCAAAGCCAGGAAACTAGAACTTTAATCAGATTGCTCTTAAAATCACTATTATTAACTTTCCCTATTATTGTAAGTCATGTTTAATCAATTAATTGTGATTCCTTTTTTAAAGTTAAAAGAATAAATGAAATATGATTAACAAAAAAAATATTAATCCATTAAACTTAATCATTTTTTCTGTGATTGATCAGCCCCTGTGGTTAGCAATTTTTTTGGTTTTTCTCATGTTTACTGAGGTGTGTGCACATGTGCACTTTAACATGCATGCACACACACTTCACGAATCATTAGTTCTTGACTGAGTGAACAAATTGGAAGCAGGAAAGAAGACAGCCTGAGAAGTCCATATGGCAGAAGGAATAGAAGGACAAAAAGAGTTTGCTAGTTCTAGGTAGTTTATCTTCAATATGTTTCAGTTTTTATCTCTTCAAAATGGGGTAAACCATTTGACCTTGGCTAATAAAACTATTGTAAAAATTTACATAAACAGTTTTTTGTAAAGTTTCATAAACTGAAATCACAGTTAAGTGTTAACCCTCACAGATCAGACTTTCAGCAAATGTTTTTAGAAGATCAACTCTGCATAGCCCTAGTTGTATTCCAGAGTGAAAGGCGTAGGTTATTCATACCTCATTTATGTTGAGATAAATGAATTCCTTGCTATGGGTGCTGAGAGACTGGAACACCCCTGATAGGAAAGATATGAGAAGGTCATTATTGCAGGGATAATTACTTCAGCGGGTTTCATTAATTCTCCATGACCCAGGGATCTTTCCAGAAGCCTATGGTGGTAGGACATTCTGGCAGTACTCTGGTGGTAAACAAGAGTCTTTTAGCAACAGACTCAGATCCACTGTAGGGGGATTGCTCTTAAGTCATTTACATCTCTGTAATTCACAAGAAGGCTGAAGACAGTAACCTCAGCATTGAGTGGCACCTGCTATTATTTATGATAATCTAGACTGTCAGTCAGCTCCTGGATCCCAAACATCTTCCTCAGCTTAAATTTTGGAGAGAACATGCACATAAAGTTTTATTTGACTCTTGAGAGCTATTCATTTTATGACTTCCTTAGGGTAGGTAACATATGGTTTCCCAAGCCCCCCTAGGATTGATCCCTGAATATAGAGTTAGGATTAAACCCTGAGAACTGCTAGGTATGTCTCCAAAATGAGCAAATAAATAAATTATGTGCCTATATGTTGGAGATATTTACAAAATAAAGGACTGAATCGTTGCACGAGAAAGAACTGAATTTTTGAGACATGTCATTGAGTCATTCAGAGATTAAAATGTTGAGGCTGGAGTGATAGCACATCAGGTAGGGCATTTGCCTTGCATGCGGCTGACCCTGGTTCAATTCGCAGCATTCCATATGGTTCCCCGAGAACCACCAGGAGGGATTCCTGAGTACAGAGCCAGGAGTAACCCCTTAGCATCGCCGGGTGTGACCCAAAAAGCAACAAAAAACAAAAAATATACAGAGATTAAAATGTTGCCTTAGGATAACCTGTGAAATATATTATCAAGGTGCTAATTATTGAAATTGATTTTTGAGCAAAAATTTGAGCCTTTGCTCAAAAATTGATTTTTGTAGAGAATTGAATATGAGGTCCTGGAAGCGCAGGGAAATTTTAATAAATAGTGATGCTGTGAGCCTTTGCTCAAAAATCAGGAATATGTTGGTGACACAGAGTGTTAAACCCAGCATGGTGTCATGGGTAAGTGGCAATTGCACAGCTCACACTGTAGTAGTGAGTGATGGTACTGTTACAAGCCACTGCACATGCTCCATGCAGTTCTAGTCTGTGTGATCTCACCTGTGTGGAGCAGAGTGGATAAAATTCATCTACACACATCTCTTTCTTATTGGAGTGACAAATCCAATTTGACACCACTGGAACAGTGCCTAGGGATTATCATACCAAAAAATGAGAAATGCAGTCGGGTGTGGTAGCGAAAAGAATCTGTTGATTCATTCCATGTGGTATGATTTTACTTGAATCGAACCTTTCCTCACATATGAAGCAAATACTGTCATATTCTACAAAGGCACCATGATTATGTAGAGAATTGAGTATTTGCTCTATAACTCACAATGCTACCTGCCTGCCTTTCAACTAAGAATGTGTACACACTGTATCAAACAATGGCTTCCTGTGACCTGGCTTTGATATAATATTGGAATTTTTTTTTCTTGTTCTGGGATGATTGAACCCAAGTCCTCACACATGCAACATAAGTGCTCTACTGATGAGCTGCTCTCCGACAGTCAGGTGGTTTCTGATGTGCTTCTGGACATAACTAAAGAGAAGTTGGAGTCTCCCCTAGGCAGCGCAATCAGCCAGACACTTACTGCTTGCATTCTCCAGCCGGACCATGCAATTGAGGAAGTCATCAAAGCCCATTTGGAGCTCTTGGTCCACATACCTGAGGATAATCATCTGCAGAAGGTGGCTGCTCAGTTGGAAGCCTATGAGGTAGGGGGAGAAGACATGGTCCACCACAACTGAACCCTGAGGTGTTTACTTTAGGGGAGCTCCCAGACCCAGTGGAGGACTATAGTGTGACAGTTTGTGTCGTGTGCCAACAAACTCTTAGCTGTATTTTCATCAGTTTCAAGAATTTGAATCTTAATTGTGGTACCCACATCATCAAAAAGGTTTTTTCATAAAGCCTTACTGGGGGGAACTTAATGCTGGCCAATGTCAGAGCCCCATTCCATTCTGCATAGGCTTCCTTCTAGTTCTCACAGCTGTACTTCCAGCCCACCTGCCACAATTCCAGCACTGACACCCAGAGTAAGGGGATATTTATTAAGTGGATTTCACTTTTTTAATTTATTTTTAAAAAGAATAGTATGTTTATTACTTTTTCTCGTTATCTTTTTTCTTTTAGGGGTGCCAGTGATCAAACTGAGTATCACACATATGCAAGGTACATACTCTACATGATCAGTAGATCATGTCCCCGGTTCAAGGAAAAATGAAACCAAAGATGTTGGAGTCCTGGAAATTGTGTGCCCCAGAGCGGATGCTGTATCTCACAGTGTCTAATGTGTGTAGGATATTGGTCACACATATCCTTGATGGAATGAGGGCACTGGGCTGGAGCTGGGGACCCACATGAGTTCTGGTGCTGCACAGGCCTCTAGTTTTTGTTTTTGAGGCCTCTGACTTCAGTTTTCTCCTTGGTTAAGTGGCAGCTTAAAGGACTGGGGTGATAGCACAGTGGGTAGGGCATTTGTCTTGCATGTAGCCAACCCATGTTCGATTCCCAGCATCCCATATGGTCCCCAGGAGTCATTCCTGAGTGCAGAGCCAGGAGTAACCCCTGTGCATCACTGGATGTGATCCCAAAAGGAAAAAAAAAGACAACTTAAAAAGGTAAAATTTCTTTAAGGTCTATTACTTAATGCTTTGACTTCTAATCAGTGCTCAATGAGTACCTCCCCTTCCTCAAAGTTCCCAACCCCTTTCCATTTTAACCTACAGGCCAGCTTTCTAGAAAAAGTGTATAATATTGCTTAGGACCTCACTGAGGCCTTCCTGTCTCCTCAATCCCAATTCCAAAAGGAGAAAGAGACCACAGAGAAATTTTTGGAATCTGTGCAGTGGTGCTTGCTACTGCTAATGCCTGGAGTCTTGGCATCTGCCCTCAGGGAGACCAAAAAAAAAAAAAAGACAGTGATCCTTTTCTTCCCTTTCAGCAAGTCAGGAGCAGAAATGCAGGCCATACTCCTTCTCTCTGAATGGCTCCCTTTGTCTTCTGCCTTATTCTTCTGCCATATAAAGGGAGCACCAGCCTATAAGAAAACCAGGCTTTTCACCTAAGGGTATCCTCAGCATGTATGATTAGTTCTGTTCTCTTTTCCCATAAGACTGAGGAAATTATTTATTTTGTACACCCTGTCCCCTGATCAGATCATGAAGCAGACAATGTTTGCAGATGTTTGATTTGCCTTGGAGAGAACTAGATTATAACTTTTGTCAGGGCCGAGGGGCCATATCTATGAAGCATTCTTTGTGAGAATCACTACAAAACTTGGTGGGAGCTGGTATGTATGAGGCCATGGAGTTCCTAGTTATCCCATAGTTTCACACTGCTACAGCGGTAATATGACTAAGAGCTTAGGAACACAACCTGGAATCCACCTGGTGTATAGGGAGCAAAGTACAAGCAACAAGTGAGACATCTGGGTTGAAGTTATTTTGCTGGAATCAAAACCAGGAACATAGCCACAAGTGGCAGAAGGGTACATGAGTTCTATGAACTCCTCCCTGACTCTAAATGACAGGAATGGGTGTGCCTTCCCTGTCTGTGAAAATTATCTTTTAGCTGCAGAAATGAGAAGGTTGGAAGAATCACAGCTTGCCACCAAAGTTTCCCATGCCTGAACAGAAAACTCAACCAGAGGCTAAGAGTCCTCTGAGGGTCAGACTATGTCCATTCTAAGTGGATGCATTTTTTTTAATTCTGCCACAATTGCTCAGTGGTTTCAACCAGGCTCTGCAGTGAGGAAAATAAGTCTGGGTCTGAGGCCTACCTCTGCCCCTTAAAGTTCTGTGCTTTCAAGAAGGATCAACACAGGTCCATCTGGCCACCTCCAGGGGCTATAGGCGAAGTCAGTAGCTGCCTCAGATAGCACCTGACATGTATGGTTCTGCCCATTCTGAACACCCCCCCCCCAACTTTTCTCTACCTGCAGCGTTCAGGGCGGTCCGCAGCTCATAGGAGGACATGGTACCCGATTTGTCAGTATCAAATTGGAGGAAAAGATTCTAAGGGAGGAGAAGAGAAGAATGGAGAAACATGGAACTCAAAAGCTAACATGACCCAGTACTAGAGATTGACCAGCTCAGAAAAGACTCTTGACTAAGGCCAGAAGCAATGACTAGGTTCGCTGTCCCAAAGAGGACAGTTCCTTTTGTTGAAACTCAGGTTGCTTTTAAAGCTATTGAAAGTAAGTATTGGTATTTATAATGATTTATTTCCTTCCTAAACTTTAAGCCCTTTAGCCCACAGCTCAATGACCTTCAAAGATCCCCTCTGCTGTGGATTTATACAATCCCCCTGCAGTTTACATACAATCCACTATCAGGTTACATACAATCCATTTCTTCAGTTTGTCCCAGAACACTTTGAATTCATCAAACTCTAACTTTCCATTGCCACTGGTCTGTGTCAAGTGTGTTAAGGAAGGAAGACATGAGCAGTGTTTTAACCCAAGTCTCCTTGTGGAACCTCAAATCTGAAATTTCACAAGAGGGGGAGTATGACGAATGGGGGACAGGTAAGTTTAATTATTAAACCGTGAATGTCTGAAGAGGGGACCTGGAAGCACTGAAATGCTGGTGATACCAGAAGGTGGAAAACATTACACACAAAATTCTTCTTTTTCCCAAATAAGTCCCCAAAGTGACAACAAGATCTTCAAGTCCCTATAGAAATATCTCCACTCGAGTCTGTGCTGCTTGATTCTTCTCCAATTCTAACCCCAAGGGACTCCAAGACTTTGGTTATTCTTTGTGAAGAAAACTAGTCTAAAGGTTAAAGAAGACTTTTAGGAAAGTCTGCATTTTCTGATCAAGGAAAATACCTAATATTTTTTACTGCCTACATATTCAGAAGGATACGTCCATCAGAGAAATAATGTTTTTACAGGAAATCAGGCTTAGTTTCTTGAATTGGATGTCCTTCTCTGAAATTGAATATAAAAACAGAATTTAGTTGGCCTCTGATATGATTAACTTATTCTTGGGTGCTGACTGATTACCGACTGGATTCCAGGGGATGTCAAAAGATCACGTGGACGCCCACCTATGAGATGGTCAGACTTCTTCGTCAAGATCCTGAACAATCGGTTTGAGGTTCTTCATATTCCTAGAATGCGCAGATGCCACTGGGCTACGCTAGCATGCAACAGGGATGAATGAAGACGTTACTGGTGCCCGCTCGAGCAAATCTATGAGTAACGGGATATCAAGTGATCAAGTGATTCTTGGGTGCTGAAAGTACCTAAGTAGTTAGATCCTAGCTGGTAAGGGTGCTGATATTTTTACTTTTTTAGGTCTGCTTCTGAGAGTAGAAATTCATGTGATGTCTTGGGGGGAAAACTCACAAAATATGAGAAAAGATTTTGGTTTTGATTTTACTTGGAGGGGAAAACCTAGCTGTGCTCAGGGCTTACTCATGGCTCTGTGCTCAGGGACCCCGCATGATGGCCTCCACAAGCAAGGCAAATGCCCTACCTGTTGTACCATTGCTTCAGCCCCAAGAAAAATAATTTAAATGGGACTTTTCTTCCACGCATTTATTAGCTTTAAAATGTTCTTTTCTTTTCCCTCTTGAAACCAAGAAAGTAGTTTTTATTGAAAGAAATTGAGAGATTTGTTAGAGGAAAGTGAGAGAGAGAGAGAGAAAGAAAGAGAAGTGTTCAAGAGATGTCACAAGCTTGGAAAAAAGAAGCCCTAAATTTATTTCAATCAATAGAATGTACAGACAGTAAGTTTGGCTATGTTCATATGTAATAATATATTATGTCTGTATGTGAAAATATATTACACAGCCTCTTAGAATCATATTTTCAAAGAAGATTTCATAACATGAAAAAAAATTCTAAAATTTAATTTAAAAGTCATTAATAAGGGGCAGCAAGTACCGTAGGCAGGGCATCTGCACATTTCTGGAACCCCATATGGTCCCTTCATCCCTGCCAGGAGTGGCCCTTGAGGGCAGAGCCAGGAGTAAGTCATGGGAATAGTCTAAAGTAGCTGTCCTCAAAAAAATAAACCCCAAAAAAATTATTGGAGAAAAATTTGAATACTCCTACACTGTTAGTGGAAATGGAAGAAACACTTTGGAAAATTGGCAGGCTGTTTCTTAGAACATCAAGTACAGAATTACCATGCAACTTAACGGTAACATCAAATCCAGAGTTACCACTGAATCCAGAGTTACCATGCAACATATAAACACATAAAAAAGTTTTTACATGAATGTTCACAGTAGCATTATCTATAACAGCCTGATCAGTCAACAACCCAAATGTCTTTCAGTAATTCAAAGAATCAATGACATATGATCTTCTCATAAGATGAAATATTCTTTAACATTCTACAAAAATAAATGAAATCTTGATACCATGTTACAGTATGTATGAACTCTGAAAATGTTTTGCTACAAAACAAAAAAAGAAGCAAACAAAAAAGACCACATAATATACGATTTCATTTATATGAAAAGTCCAGAATAGGCAAATTTATAGAGACAGAAAATAGTGTTTGCCAGGGGAGAAGGTGGAGGGGAGTTACTAGGGACCAAGTTTATTTTTGAAGTAATGATGTGTTCTAAAATTGACTGTAGAGGGCCAGAGCTATAATAGAGCGGGTAGGGCAGTGCATGCAGCTGACCCAAGTTTGATTTTTGGCATCCCACATGGTCCCTCGGGCACCACCAGGAGTAATTCCTGAGTGAAGAACCAGGAGTAACCCCTGAGCACTGCCGGGTGTGACCCAAAGAACAAAAAGTAAGGGGCTGGAGCAATAGCACAATGGGTTGGGTATTTGCCTTGCAGGCAGCCAACCCAAATTCTATTCCCAGCATCCCAGTCCCCTGAGCACCACCAGGAGTGCAGAGCCAGGAGTAACCCCTGTGTATCACTGGGTGTAACCCAAAAAAGCAAAAAAAAAAAAGTAAATAAGTAAAATAAAAAATAAAATTCTGGTGAGGCTGGAGCGATAGCACAGTGGGTAAGTTGTTTGCCTTGCATGCGGCTGACATGGGTTCGATTCCGAGGATCCCATATGGTCCCCGGAGCACCACCAGGAGTAATTCCTGAGTGCATGAGCCAGGAGTAACCCCTGTGCAACGCCAAGTGTGACCCAAAAAGCAAAAAAAAAAAAAAAAGTTGACTGTGGTTGGAGTTTGAGAGATAGTACAGTGGGTAGGACACTTGCCTTGCATGAGGTCAACATGGATTCAATCCCTCATATCCCATATGGTCCCAGGAGCACTGCCAGAAGCAGTTCTTTATTTTTGGCTTCCCACAAAAAATAAAATACAATTTACTGTGGTAGAGCTATGAACATACTGGATTGTTCAAGATAAAACACTGGATTTCATACTTTAAAAGGAAAAGTTGTATATCTAAATTAAACCTCAAAACTATATTAAAAATAAGTTGATATTTATAGTTGATATTTAAGGGCTGGAGCGATAGCACAGCGGTAGGGTGTTTGCCCTGCACACAGCCAACATGGCCGACCCGAGTTCAATTCCTCCGCCCCTCTCGGAGAGCCCAACAAGCTACCAAGAGTATCTCGCCCGCATGGCAGAGCCTGGCAAGCTCCCTGTGACGTACTCGATATGCCAGACACAGTAGCAACAAAGTCTCCAATGGAGACGTTACTGGGTCCGCTCGAGCAAATTGATGATCAACGGGAGGGCCTTTACATTTTACTTTTAAATATACCAATTAAATGTTTACATTCATATTTAGAATTATACACATACACACATGAATATGTACACTCACAGCAACACACACAGATTACACATACCAACTATACACAAATTAATAACACATATTAATAGCAATTACTAATGAGATTGTTGGTGATTTATGTATTTGTCAATAGGTTTTTCTGCAGTTTTAAGAATTTCTACCATAATATTGTATAATTTTTATGATCAAGAAATAAGCAATGATCAGGACTGGAGCAATAGCACAGCAGGTAGGGCATTTGCCTTGCACACAGCTGACCCAGGTTCGATTCCCAGCATCCCATGTGGTCCCCTGAGCACCACCAGGAGTCATTCCTGAGTGGAGATCCAGGAGTAACCCCTGTGCATTGCCGGGTGTAATCCAAAAAAGAAAAAAAAAAGAAGAAAAATAATAAGCAATGAAAGCTAGAGTTGCACCAGGGAGCCTGGGGTTGCTGGAGGACAGCCAGGCAGCATATCCATCATGTATCCTCTCAATAGGATCCCTGAGGTTCATGTGAGTGGTGGGTGGTGGGCGTAAGCACTTACTCTTTTGCAGCACAGCATTTAAAACACACTGGAGTTCTTCTGCTGTCACCTCCAAATCCTGTTGAAAGGGAGATAATTGCTTTTTTTTTTTAGTTGAATCACCGTGACATACAGTTACAAGCTTTCATGTTTGAAATGATCAAACACCCATCCCTCCACCAGTGCGCATTCCCCACCACCAATCTCCCCAATATACCCCCCTTTCCCACCCTCCCACTGCCTCCATGGCAGACAGTATTTCCCATACTCTCTCTCTACTTTGGGGCATTGTGGTTTGCAATATAGATACAGAGAGGTTTATCATGTTTGGTAATTGATTTTTAATAGCCTGTTGAGTCTTTGTTTCAATTTCTTTCTGTTGTGAAGTTGGTTTGATTGAATGGATAACACAGCCTGCTGTAGGCCCCTGGACCATGTTCTACGTGGCTTTAGCCTCCTCACTTCTTCGGTAGCCTGTGAACCACCCAGAAAGGGCAGGGAGACTTGATGAGACAAAACATGCTTTCCCAAATCCTGACCTAAGACTCTCCAAACAATCCCTGTGTGAGGGAACCTTTAAGTTCAAGTTCCCAAGCCCTGTGAAACAACATAATCACTTGGATATCTTTTAAAAATAATCCTATGGGGGCTGGAGCAATAGCACAGCGGGTAGGGCGTTTGCCTTGCACGCGGCCAACCCAGCATCCCATATGATACCCCGAGCATCACCAGGAGTAATTCCTGAGTGCAGAGCCAGGAGTAACCCCTGAGCATCACTGGGTGTGACCCAAAAAGCAAAATAATAATAATAATAATAATAATAATAATAATAATAATAATAATCCTATGGAGGCTGGAGAGATAGTATAGTGAGTAGAGTATTTGCCTTGCACATAGTCAACCTGGATTCTATCCCTGGTATCCCATATGGTCCCCTGAGCACTGCCAGGAGTAATTTCTGAGTCCAGAGCAAGGAATAACTCCTGAGCATCATCAGGTGTGGCCCCAAAACAAACTAACAAAATATTACCATCTTGGGGTTTATTGCAGGAACATAACAATCAAAAGACCTGAGAATATGGCTCAATGCTTATTTAAATAAAAACTCTAAGGCTCAATTTCAGGACCATTGATTTAAGATGATTTAGTTAATACCATGAATCTCAGCATCCCATGGGTGTTTATTAGAAATGCAGACTTCTGGATCCCTCAGAAATGGGCCCTTATTTTTCAGGATGCCGAGGTGGTTTTTGCATACATGACAACATAAGCAACACTAATTTAAGACTCTGTTAAGGGCTTTGAATCAGCAGAGTGACACACAATGCCCAATGGAGTTATTTTAACAAATGCCCACCCCACTTCCATTCCTGGAGCCCCTGGGTCCTGAAAAATGCAGGATGAGGATGTTCATGTTCATGCCCAGGCCCCTACTGAACAGAAAGATGGAATGGGGTGTTCAGATCATCGGGCTAATTAGAAGAAGAGCCATTAATTTCAAGAGGTGCATTTGGTTATTAACAAAAGTTGATGAGTTCTTCCATAACCTTCCAAATCTAGGTGTCCGTTTCTCCAAGTTCTTTGCCCAAATGCCTCCTCACTCAGGAAATGCTTTTGCCAGCTCAGTCCTCCAGATAACACTGAAAGTTGGATGTTTATCACTCTCTAACTGCCCCCCCATACTTCTCTTTTCATGCCCAGGATTGCAGAAAGCTCTGTGGTATAGCGAAACCACATGGGTCCCTGCCTCTCTCCACCCACACACATGTCTTCTTGTCCCCCTTATAAACATAGTGCTTGTAATTCTGTTAGGATGCACCTCACACACATCTTAACAGGGATTCACAACTCACAGGTAAGGAACAAATACAGTTGTTAGCACTTAAATTGGTTTATCAGGCTAATACTACTTATGGCTACCAATAGAGAGACTTCAGAGAATATGGGTGGAGAAGTTTCTAAGAAGACAGTAGAGGCCCTAGGCAGAAGTAGGGAAGATGCAGATACCCTAGGAGCAGCCCAAGTTCCAGCAAGCAAGATGAGCCTGAGAGTATGCAAATAAAGTGAAGAAGAAAGCCGGTGACAGTTTCCCCTTTTCCAATGCCTTCCTGGCCTGCTGCCAAACAAAAACATGCCTCTGACTTAGTGGATAAAATTCTAGTCAGTATAGATTTGCAACAATGTTGACCTCCCCAAATAATATCTTCTTTGACCATAACACAGAGTGATATAAAGATATAAAGACAGTGATTTCTTGGGTAGAGTTCAAAAATCAACTTCTTAAAGCTTTCTAAGCTGGCACAAAAAGCATCCGAACCTGGTCTGAGTTCAATTGGATATTTTTGGCCCCTAAAACTGGAGAGTTAGATGTGCAGGAGGAAACCACCTTTAGAGTCTCTCTCAAAAATTCAGGGCTGCTCTCTCTTTGTGACAAGTTGACACCTGGGTCACCAGATATTTAGCACCAGACCTTGGGCACTGAGCCTCACGGAAGCATTATTGCATCCCTAAATAAAGAAGCTGAGTCCCTCAACAGTGCAGGGATTGAGGTCAATGGGAGCCAACAGGAGCCCTACCTCACCAGCAGTTTGTTTGAACAGGGCCCGAAACTGCTGCTCCTCCTCTGTCTCCTCTCCAGGTGCAGTTGGCTTCTGAGGCTGAAAATTAACCAGAGGAACTTTTAAGACCCACCAAAAAGAAGCCTGATTTTGTTGGGGTTTTTTTTCCAGAAAAATGTCAGGAAAGAAGACTCGGGTTGGCAGTGGTCTGCCTGTGAGAGAAAATGGGATCACCTTGCAGCCATCTGATGCTGTGGTCTTCTGAGATGGGCTCAAAACTGACCTATCTGTAGTCTTAAGAGCAATCTGACACTTTGTGAAGGCTCTTGGGGAGAATCTGGAATGGTTTATTAATGATTAATGGAATTGGTTGCAAGCGTGTATATTTACAATTGAGGTGGGCAAGGGAATCTGACTCCTGATGAATTTAGGGTCCTGATTAGTTTGCCACCTCTTCCTGCACTTTCTGAATCTTTCTGTGCCTCACTCTTGGATGTAACTACTTGCCAAGTCATCTGGCAAGGAAGCACTGTAGCACTGTTCTCCCATTGTTCATCGATTTGCTCGAGCAGGCACCAGTAACATCTCCGTTGTGAGATTTGTTACTGTTTTTGCATATCAATACATACAGGGAGCTTGCCAGGCTCTGCCATGCCCATGCGGGCAGGATACTCTCAGTAGCTTGCCGGACTCTCCAAGAGAGATGGAGGAATCAAACCCTGGTCGGCCGGGTGCAAGGCCAGTGCCCTACCCACTGTGCTATCACTCCAGCCCATCTGGCAAGGTAGGTGGTAAAATCTTTGAGAGCAAGAGGTCCTTTAATACTGAGCCTAGTATATGGGTAAGGCACAGTAAATGTTTGGAGGTGTTTTGTTAGGTTTGGGGCCCTGTTAATAAATAAGTCACAGCCTTAATAGTAAAACAAGAAGCAGCAAGTTCACTGCTAAAAGCTGAGCTCTGCTCACTTTTTGTAGGTATTAGGTATAGGGCCACACCTCACACAATTACTTTTGGAAGTCTCACAACCCTCGGATAAGCACAAAAGTGAGCCCCCAACACAAAAAGTATAGAGGAAGTAGTGTGTTTCCCCAATTATATGTTAAAAGAATCCACCTACTTCTCCCATTTTATTTTTATTATTTTTCTTAAAACTTTCTTGAAGAATTGTAAATCATCTTCTCCAGGGACTTAGAATCAAAATATATGCCTTATTGTTGGTAACCGTTCCTTGAACTTCAGAGTTTTAGATGTTGCTTTGCTTAGAAAGAAGTTTTCAGGAGTTACTGGATCCCTCCCTCCATATAACATGAAAAATGCTCACCTCAGTAAGGTAAATGTCCACATTTTCATCCAAGTCCCTGTGGAGGCAAAAAATACTTTAACAGCTGTGGTACAGATGTATACCATTGAATATTTGTCCCACTGAATTTCTTCTTTTTCAATGATGTCAACATTACACAGTGTCTGCAGGCACCAGACATTAACCTCTCTCCCCTTATACACTTTGAGCAGGAAAATGAAAAAGGTAGGTATAATCATCTTTAAGGGAGAATTTACAACTTATGAACTTATAAAATTACAACAATAAACCAGCAGTCTTTCTTTAGTTTCTGGTTTTTATGGAAAATTTGTTATTTTTTTTCTAGTTATACATCTATGTATTAGGGCAGAGTCTGGCAAACTCCCTGTGGCGTACCCAATATGCCAAATACCAGTAACAATGATGGGTCTCATTCTCCTAAAGAGCCTTGAATATAATCTCAGGGCTAGGATGAAGGAGATGTTACTGGGGCCTGCTCGAGGCAATCGACGATTAACAGGATGATTTGTGATTTGTGATACATGTATGTATATATGCATATATATACATATATGTGTGTATATAGGGAAACCTGTAATGTTGGTAAGCTGTCATATTGAGAAGAGGAGAGACTTTAGTTTTTGTTAACGTGTAAATATTTGAAAGACTCCATATAGGGTAAAACCTCAATCATTCCACATGAAACATTACTAAAATCTCAAAGAGAAAGTAAAGAAGCAACAATCAGAGGGAACCCAGGGTTGTCCCTTTTTTCCTCACCCTCTGGGGCATGCATAACCCTTTCAGAACTTTCCTCCCCCGCCCCTTGATTTCTGAACCACATTCTGCAGTGTGAAGCCATCTACAAATGATGAGGACCCTAACCTACCACTTTAGTGGGTCAGGTAACTTGTGTAGGATTGGCACACCCTGGATTTCTCTCTCTTATTCTTACACCTGTTAAGAGTTGCCATTTGCAACGATCTCACTAGATGTGCCTTGTGTGAATAGATATGAAGAAAATCATTCTGAGATTTTAGTCAGAGTAGAAATTCCAGCATTTTTTAAATAGAATCCACTTCCAACAGAATTCAATCTATTAAATTGGCAGTACTCAGATTTCTGGTGCTTACATGCTAGCAGGACATGTTTGACAGTGCCCAGGAGCTCATAGAATACTAGGGATTCAACTCAGGGTCTTGCACATGCTAATAAGCATGTTCTTTTCCTTTTAGGCTATAGATTTAGCCCCTCCAGCAGAACTTTTTTTTTTGCTTTTGGGATCACGCCCAGTGATGCTTACGGGGTTACTCCTGGCTCTATACTCAGAAATTACTCTTGGAAGTCCTTGGGGGACCGTATGGGGTGCCAGGGATTGAACCCAGATCGGTCATGTGCAAGGCAAAGCCCTACCTGCTGTACTGTCACTTGGGCCCTTCCAACAGAACTTTTTAGAATCAAAAGACATTATTTCTGTTTAACAGTGAGTATATCCATGCCTTTTATAGTCAGCATAGAAAACCAAGCCAGACTTTGTCTTGGAAATATTTCTAATGCCTGGCACCATTCCCAGTATAACGTGATTTTACAATTGGAAATATTCTTAATGCATGCCACCACTCTAATTTATCCAGACTTCGTAATGGAAATATTCAATGCATGCCACCATTTCAATTTTATCCCACCAAACAAAAAGTAAATTCATTCAAAAGGACAGGACTACATGACCCATGTAGTCCTTGAGTATCTACATTGGAACAGAAATAGATTTTTTCCCCAATATTAAGCCATTTTTTTCTTCTGCCATAGAATAATCAATGGCAAATGGGATGCAAGGGGAATTCTTTCCCCCACACTCAAGTACTAAAACTACAGCAAGCAAGATAGTACAGAGGGTAAGGCCTTGCTTTGCATGCCAAGCTCAATTCCTGCCACCTTATATGGTCCCCCAAGTACTGACATTAGTTATCCCTGAGCACAGAGCCAGGAGTAATCTCTGAGTACTACCAGGTGCAACCCAACTCACCCCACAACAAAAACAAAGTGCTGGTACAAAATAATTTTTCTGGGAATGTTTAGTTAGCAAAATGTTAGGTGACGTATAGAATGGAATGCAGACTTGCCACTAAGACCTCATTTATTTAAAGATCAGCTGAAAAGGCATGTAATCTTTGACGTTTGTAATTTCATCCCTTCAGAAATAAGTCTGACATCCTCAAAAGTGGCTTTCACTCCAGAAACTTCTTGATAATAAGGGTCTGGAGAATGAAAGGCTTCATCCAACAGTGTCTGTGAATATAATTCTGGCAGCAGCTTGAGAAAGTGACTTTTTAATGGTTCGCTTTGAAGCGAAAACACAAAGCTGTATCACTGTATCACTGTCATCCCATTGTTCTTCGATTTACTTGACCAGATGCCAGTAACATCTCCATTTGTCCCAGCCCTGAAATTTTAGCAGCCACTCCTTACTCATTTTTCCCAACATACTGGAGTCCCTTTCAGGGTCATGGGAATGAGATCCTTTATTATTACTGTTTTTGGCATATCAGATATGCCACGGCTAGCTTGCCTGGCTCTGCCATGCAGGTAGGATACTCTCAGTAGCTTGCCAGCCTCTCCAAGATATGTATTTTTTTCTATCAGATATGAAGTGGTAATTATGGAAAATGGGTAAGGAGTGTCTTATGACACGGCTTTCGCAGCCGCTCAGTCCTACTCATGGATTGGGAAAATTAACATTGTCAAAATGGCAATACTCCCCAAAGCATTCTACAGATTTAATGTGATCCCTATAAGAATATTCATGACATTCTTCAAAGAAATTGATCAAACACTCCTGAAATTCATATGGAACAACAAACCCCCAAAGATAGCTAAAGAAACTCAAGGAAAAGAAGATGAGAGGCATCACCTTGCCCAACTTCAAACTCTATTACAAAGCGGTAATAATTAAAACAGCATTGTATTGGAACAAAGTCAGAGCTTCAGACCAATGGAACAGGGTTGAATATCCTTACATACACCCTCAAATATATGTTCATCCTATCTTTGATAAGGGAGCAAGAAATGTGAAGTGGAGCAAGGAAAGCCTCTTTAACAAATGGTGCTGGCAAAACTGAACAGCTACATGCAAAAAAAATGGGCTCAGACCTCTACCTAACACCATGCACAAAAGTCAAATCAAGATGGATTAAAGACCTCAACATCAGACCATAATCCATAAGGCACATTGAAGTCAAGGTTGGCAAAACCCTCTACTACATTGAAGCTAAGAAGTATCTTCAAAAATTAAATGCCACTGACCAAGCAAGTGGAATCAGAGATAAACAAGTGGGACTATTTTAAACTAAGAAGCTTCTGCACCTCAAAAGAAACAGTAACCAGGATAAAAAGACAGCTTATGGAATGGGAAAGGATATTCACCCAATACCCTTCTGATTAACCCATCTGATGGGTTAATCAGAAGGGTATTGGGTGAATATCAATATACAAGGCACTGGTTGAACTCTACAAGAAGAAAACATCCAACCCCATCAGAAAATGGGGCAATGAAATGAATAGAAACTTTCTCAAAGAAGAAATCCAAATGGCCAAAAGGCACATGAAAAACTGCTCTTCGTCATTAATGATCAGGGAGATGCAGATCAAAACAACAATGATATATCATCTCTTACCACAGAGAGGATGGGGTGGGGGTGGCAGAAGGGATACTGGGAACATTGGTGATGGAAAATGGGCACTGGTGGAGGGATGGGTATTTGATCATTGTATGACTGAAGCGTAATCATGAAAGTTTCTAAGTCTGTAACTGTATCTCACGGTTATTCATTAAAAAATTTTTTGAAAAGGAGTTTTACTTAAGCTCCTTGAAAGAAAGAAAGAAAGAAAGAAAGAAAGAAAGAAAGAATAAGAGAGGAAAAGAAAGAAACCCTCCTGCAGGTTTCTTAGACCATGGAAAGATGTGAATTGCACACAACCAGAAGAAGAAAAGCAACCAGTGTTGATGTGGATGTGGGGAGAAGGGGACTCTCCTTCACTGCTGGTGGGAATGCTGACCGGTTTTGCCCTTTTGGAAAACAATATGGATGTTTCTCAAAAAATTAGAAATTGAGCTCCCATTTGCCCCAGCAATACCACTTCTGGGAATATATCATGGAGAGGCAAAAAGTACAGTATAAATGACACCTGAACTTGTATGTTTATTGCAGCACTGTTTATAATAGCCAGAATCTGGAAAAAACTGAGTGCCTGAGAACAGATGACTGTTTAAAGAAACCTTGGTACATCTACGTTAATGGAATATTATGTAGCTGTTAGAAAAGACGAGGTCATGAAATTTGCATATCAGTGGATCGGCATAGAGAGTATCATGCTAAGTGAAATGAGTCATAAAGGGAGGGACAGACATAGAATAACTGCACTCATTTGTGGAATATAAAGTAACATAATGGGAGACTAACACCCAAGGATAGTAGAGATAAGGACAAAGAGGGTTGCTCCAGGGCTTGGAAGCTGGCCTCATGTGCTAGGGGAAAAGGCAGCTGAGATAGAGAAGAGACCACCAAGTAAGGGATGCTTGGAGAGCTTGCTCAGGTCAAGAAATGCATGCTAAAAGTAGACTATAGACCAAACATGATGGCCACTTAATTGATACCTGTAGTACAAACCATAACACCTAAAAGCAGAGAGAGAGTAAAAGGGAATGTGCCTGCCACAGAAGCAGAGGGGGATAGGGGTGGGGGTGGTGGAAGGGATACTGGGAACCTTGGTGGTGGAGAATGAGCACTGGTGGAGGGATGGGTACTTGATCATTGTATGACTGAATCGTAATCATGAATGTTTGTAAGTCTGTAACTGTATCTCACAGTGATTCATTTTTAAAAATTTAAAAAAAAAACAATAATGAGATTTACTTAAGCTTCTTAAAAAAGATAAAGAAATGAAAGAAAGAAAGAAAGAAAGAAAGAAAGAAAGAAAGAAAGAAAGAAAGAAAGAAAGAAAGGTGGGGGTATGGTGCCGCCAGCAGCACTGTGAGGCGAGTGCATCAGCAGCCTGATGGCGCCTTCAGACTTCCAGATACCCCAAAAATGCTGCTGTGCCTTTGGCCAGACCCCAAAAACTTGGGGCAAAGTTTACCAAGAAAGTAAATGACCAAAAGTTAAGTATGTGGGAGACACACCCACAAACCACCTCCAGCTCAGCTATGTAATTGGAGGCAAGGCCTCTCTGGTTCCTGATCGAACTGCTTAATGGCCATGATCTCAGAGACTCAGAAACAAACCTCCAAACCTAACGGCTTTTGGCAGAAATGCATCCAGTTCCTGCAGTAAGTTACAGGCACTGGGCCACCCCAAATGGGAATAGGTTTGTGCCTTGGCCTGTTCCTCCTGGCAGCCCAGTGGCTGCCATTCTCCAGAGGCCACTGGACAGTCAGGTTTGAGCCCACAGTGACGAGACATGTGGGGCCTCACGGGATGGGGGTGGAGCCGACCCTTTCTCCCCATCCCAATGAGACCCCGAGTCGACGCCCACTAACCACCTTTCTGGCTCCTGATCAAACTGCTGATACAAGAGACTCAGGAACAAATCTCAGAACCTAGCAGGTTTTGGCAGAAATTCCTCCAGATTTAATTGTTAAAATTTCAGAAATCGCCTAGCCACTATTGCAGCCACGCGACATCATATGTTATTCATAACCAGCAATAGAAAATAAATTGTCTATTGTTGCCTTTTCAGCAGATCTGAGAGTTGGGGTAAAATCCCAAATAATGGTGGGTCAGGTGTCAAAATATTGAAAGTAGTCAAAGTAGAGAGTAATGTGGAAATTATCTGCCCCACAGGTAGGGGGAGGGGTTGGGATGGGGGTATACTGGGGTTTTTGGTGGTGGAGAATGGGCACGGGTGTTTCATTGTATGACTGAGACTTAAACCCGAAAGCTTTGTAACTGCTCTCATGGTGATTCAATAAATCAAATTATAAAAAATGAAAAAAAAGTAAGGTGGAGTTTATGGCCAATTCAATCAGCTAATCAGTGGCTGAATAAATAGCAGTACTCCTACATAAAAAGAGAGAGAGAGAAAGGAAGAAAGAGAAAAAGAGAATAAGAGAGGAAGAGAAAGAAACCCTCCTGCAAGTTTCTTAGATCATGGAAAGATGTGAATGGGGTCATGGCCCCAACAAGTCCTGGTGACTTCCCTAGGAATGAATCATTAAATGAAGAGAGATTGTTCCAACAATTACTTACTGGGTAATGGCTTTCTTCTCTGAAAAGACCCTCAGGCAGAAATCAGCTTCCAGATGAGGCTCAAAGGTGCTGGGAATCAGTATGTATTCCCCTGGGGGTAGCTTAAACCTCCCAGAAACTTCTCTCAGATTAATGAATGTTTTGCTTCTGGCCTGTGAAGCATGGTATCTGAAAAAGTCTTTGTTTAGGTGTTCATCTTTACCTGGACACTGCAATAGAAAAACAAGAGGGTGGTTCTTTGGGAGACGGCCTTGGACACAATCTGGGGACTGACTTTTGACTCTCCAGAGTGAGACTGAAGAGGAACTGAGAATTCAGAGCTCAGAGGGTGGATTCAAAAGTAATTGTGCTCCCACCTACCTTGTAAATGGCATAGCCAATGGTCAGCATATTGGCACCAAATCTCTTGAGTTTTCTTCGATCTTTCTGCATCAAGGCTATGAGATAAGAGCACTCCTCATGCCCCTCATCTTTTTCAGTCAGGGACAATTTTATTTGTGGATTAGTCCAAAAGGTATCTGTAATTTGAAAGAGGCAGATTATTTTTTCTTCCTTTAAAATGAAGGGGGGGAAACCCCACATAGACATACACCTATTTTTCCTATATATATTCCCAAACCTTAAAAAATAATTCCCTTTCTCCCTATTCTGATCACCGTCTTGTCCTACTTTCAATAATCCTTGTGCGAATGCAAAGTTCTCCGCCATTCACTTCCATCTTCTATTCAATGCAGCATTTAAAAAACATTTTTTCTGGGTTTAATTGAATATATTTTGTTTCATTTTATTTTTTTGATTTTTTCATTTCAAATTACAGGGCATCTGTGGTTGTTGCCTAGCACCCATACAATGGTTGTGTGACTGAATAGAACTGACCTCATTTTTCAGCTCCAAGGGTGAACTCTGGTTTATGCTAGTCTTTCTTGTCATAGAGAATTGGAACAAAGCCCATTAGCTCATAGTATTCTTTGGACCATGCCAACTCAAAGAATTTTCGATTAAAGAGATGCTGAGAGCTTTTATTAGATGGTCTTTAGAAGTTTTAACTGAGCATTTGAATGAATGAGGACTCAGGAAGGACCCTGGATGCTGCTGACAGCACTCTTGTGTCTGAGAAAAACAGACTGAGGAAAAAGTCAACATATGAAAGAGAGAAGAATAGAGAATTACAAAGTTATGAAATTTACATACAAGTGGTACTACATGGAAAGTATCATGTTAAGCAAAATGAGTCAGAAAGAGCGGTATAGACACAGAAAGATTGCATTCATCTGGGGAACATAAAGCAACAAAACGGGAGACTAACACCCAGGAATGGCTGAGATTAGTACCAGGAATTTTGCTCCATGACTTGAAGGCCAGCCACACGTGCTAGGTGAAAAGGAAGCTCAGATAGAGAAGAGAGCACCAAATAAAGGGTGTTGTGAGGACCGTCCCAGGGTGGGAGAAGCATTCTAAAAGTAGTCTATAGACCAAACATGATTGCCACTCAATGCCTCTCTTGCAAAACACAGTACCCAAAAGAAGAGAGAGAGAACAGGGGGAATGCCCTGCCACAGAGGCAGAGTGGGATGGGTGGGATGAGGGGTGGGAGGGATGCTGGGACCCGTGGTGGTGGAGGATGGACACTGGTGAAGGGATGGGTACTTGATCATTGTATAACTGAAACCCAAGCACAAAAGTTTATAAGTCTATAACTGTACCTCATGGTGTTTCACTAATTAAAAAAAAAAGGACTTAACAAGCTGTACCTGAAGTCCACGGTACCTCTCTGAACTTTTCAATTATGCCAAGAAATAAGTTATTTTTATTACTAAACTTATGGAAGATAATCCAACTAGTTAAACGAGAGTTTCCCTGAGCAAATTTTATCCACAGTTCTTTTTTTCCCTTTTTTTCGTCACTAATAGTCTTTCTTTAAAATCATGCTTAAGGTTTCCTCTAGGATCTTGGCCCTCCTCCCCTGATGTCTCTGAGTTAGAATGGAAACTTTGAAGTAATGGAGAGATACAGGAAGACTACCAACCCAGGAAATTGCGGCAGCCTCCAGCTGTGGAGCCCCGAACCCAGCTTCCTTGGTGGACTGTCACCTCCCACTTGTGAAGGGCATCTTCTTCCAATGCATCTGGTGTGAGGTTGCATATCTCAATTTTGTCAAAATGGTTCTTGAAGTCCTTCAATGCCATCCTGCATTAGAGTGGAGAGACAATACATGGAAGTGATGGTGATACATGACCCCTTCGTTTATTCAGTCATTTAACAAATGGTTTCTGAGTACCTGTTCCTGAAATCAAAAACTGGGAAGAACCCAGGTATGGGGAGACATGAAATAGATCAAGACAAAATAGGTTGAAAAAGTTGAAAAGGTCTAAGAAGCCCCCCGAAAAAAAATTGATTATATGTTTAAGTGTTGCAAAAGAAAATAAAGTAGGGTGAAAAATAAGAACGTAGAAAAGTGATATTTTTCCTATTTTTTGAGACACTGTGGTTTACAGTACTGTTAATTATAGAGTTTCATGCAAATAGTGTTCTAACTCCATACCCTGGGGTAGAAATATTAAAGGAAGGGCTCTGAAGCCAGGAGGATATGCAAAATGAGTCTCTGGAGAGACAGGTTGTGAGCTTGAAGTTCTCATGGAACATCAAGAAGGCCAATGAAGGGGCACAAGTAAGGGAGATGATCCTAAGATAATGGTGAGTGAGGAGGTCATCAAAAGGTTTTTGGTCTTTATTCTAAGAAAGAGAACCACTGTAGGTATTAAACAGAAAAGCAACATGATCCATGGTTCTGTTGAAGATAGAATTCAATAGCACAGTTGAAATTAAACCACTAATTAGGATAGTTCTTGCCTAGGTCAGGGTAAGAGTGGTTCAGTCCAGCCTGGTAGGAGGGGAGGTCATTTGAGACACATTCTAAAGGTTAATCCTACAGGATCTGCCAATGGATTAAATGAATGCTGGAAGGAATGAAGGGTTAGTAGAAATTTTTGGCTTGAACAGATCGTATACATAAGATTGTGTTAGAACAAGTTGGAGAAATAGATCAGGAACTGAGTTTTGAATATAATATTCTGAGATCCAAAGAGTGATTTTGAGTAGTATACACTTGAGTAAATAGATCTGGAATTTTGAGAAAAGGAGCTGAAATTTTAAAAATCCTGGGAGCTATCAGATTGACTAAAATATCTTTTTTTCTTTGAAACAAAGTTTCTCTTTGCTTACAGCTTCAATTTTTTTTCTTTTTGGGTCACACCTGGTGATGTACTCAGGAATTACTCCTGGAAGTGCTCAGGGGATTATATCGGATGCTGGGAATTGAACCTGGGTCAGTCGCGTGCAAGGCAAACGCCCTACCTGTTGTGCTATTGCTCCAGCCCCAACAGCTTCAAATTTTTTAATTGTTGAAAGTAATAAAGTTGTCTTTTGTTATGAGGTGCCTTTTGAGTATCTTAGGACAGGGGAAGTTGGCCTGGGTAAACAACAAAGTGATTAAAGAGTCAGAAATTCCAGTTTGTTCAGTGAGGGAAGAGGGAATGAAGTATCTGAGTGCTTCCAGATTCTTGCTTCTCAATTCTTCTCAGAACCTTGTAGTCTCTGAGCTTCATGAGGACAGAAGCTCTTTTGTTTGAAATTTTGTCCTATAATTTTTCTTATCTAGATATTTTTAATATCCTTTATTGCCCTTTATAATAAACTAATGAATTTGAGAGTAAAAGGGTTTCTAGATTTTTTTAAAATCTGCATTAATCAAATCTAAGAGAAGGTTGTGAGAACTTCCAATCAGTAGTTAATTTGGTCTGAATCACAGGTAATAGACAGGGCTTAGAACTGGCAGTTGAAATTGAAGGCAGCCTTAATCTATGGAATGTTATGGTAGTTCCAGGTAGATTATATCAAAAGTGATATAAATTGAGTTAAATTCTTGGACAGCCTGCTGGTATCAAGAACTCGTAGTTGTGGGGAATCCTCCATACACACTCATGTTGGAATTAGGTCTTTGAACCCCAAAGCAGACTTCTATTTAAAGTCATGAAATGGAAATGGTAATAGACACCAAAGAAGTGGTCCACAGATAGAACCCAGGGACACCACAATGCTAACAAACTAAGGAACGAAGAAAGATAGGAAAATAAATAGAGAATGAATTCTCTCTTAGAAGGCAATCTAAGATGCAGGAAACATTGTGTCACTGCCACTGAGGGTTCAAGAAAGATGATTAGATTTACAAAGCGAGAGCCAATAGTGTCTTTGGCTGAGACCAGCACTGAAGAATGAAAAAGTGAAATAGTGGAGTCAGAAAGTGAAAGAGAAGAAATGGGTGAATTTTGCCATAGATAAGAGAAATGATTTGTGGCTCGAGTGGGTTGACAGGTTCCTCCTTTCCTTTCACCTTCAGTAGGCAAAACTCTGCATTGGAGTGCTAACATAAGTGATTCACTATACATAGCATTGAAACTCTAATGTAAATGATTCAGTAGAAAAACAAGTATAGAAATCGTGGATAAGGGGAGAGGAAAGAGTTGTAGAGGTTATTCCTAGAGTGATCCTAGAGTGAATGAAAGATAAAATGGAAAAAGATTGAGGATTTTTATGTTAAGATTATAGGAGCAAGGGTCTCTGCAGAATGAAAGACTATGCTTTCTGAGTATCTCCCCAGACAGTATTTATCCTTCTGCGGTAGATGCAGCTGCTTTCACAAGAGCATATGGGACCAGTCAATGGATCATTTATATATTCTTGTTGGGTATCTCCAATGGATTTCCTCATTTCCTATGTCTTATTTCTCCTTTCTTTGATCCAGAACTTCCTTTAATTAGTTTGAACCTCTATCAAGTTCTTATTTCTACTCATATTTGACAAATTTTTGTGAAGGTTCTATACACAAATCTCAACTTTTCTCTTGAAGTTTTGCTCACTAATCCAAAACCTCTACAATGAAAGTTCAACATAAATTTAACTCTGACTTCCAATTCAATACCTGGTCAATGTTTCCCACAAGTTTTATTTAAAGTTTCCTAAAACAAAGATGCCTAGAGGAACAACAAAATCTTCTCATCTTCTACATCTTCAAGCAGTTAATTATATGCTCCCAAGAGCCTCTCTAGAAAAAGGAATTTGAACCTCTAGATCACTGTGTATAGAGAGTCAACCATAAAATAGAAATGTCTTGTGGATGACTCAGTGGTGGAGAGCATGAAGTTGAGGGTTAAATTCCTAGCACCTGCATGAAGTATGATCTCTGTGGTTCTGCTGTTTGAGATCCCTGTAACTACAACAAAGTATTCCATCTCTGGTACATTGTAGTCAGGTGTGAGGAAGCATAACAGATAAAATTCTAAATGCTGCAGCTAGGTGCAATCCCTGGTGAATACTGCAACCAAAATATACACGAGCATCACAACTGAAGAATGTGATTCCTGGTTAACGTCTGTTTAACAACTAAAGAATTCCCCAATCAGTACTACAAAATCACCATCAGGTATGTGTGTGATCTTCATCACCGCAACACAAAAAAAAAAGAAAAGAAAATGGAAGGGAGAGCAAATATAAGAAATGAATTATAAATAAATTGTATAGTTTTGAATCTTTGGTGTGCATGGTGCTGGGAGTTAAATTATGAGCTTCACACATGCAAGGATGCAAAACAAGTAAAGTACTCTATCACTGAGTTACATCATCAGTCCTTGATTCTATTTAAAAAATACTGTTGAATCAAAAAAGAACAAGAGTAACCAGTAACAAGTGCTATCTTGAATGTGGAGAATAAGGGACTCTCTCTCGTTGTTGGAAATGCATACTAGTCCAGCCTTTTTGAAAAACAATACGGATATTTCTCAAAAAAATTAGAAATTGAACTTCCATATGACCCAGCAATATCACTTCTCAGAATATATCCCGGGGGCCCAAAAACACACAGTAGAAATGCCATCTGCACTTCTATGTTCATCACAGCTCTATTCACAATAGCCAGAATCTGGAAGCAACCTGAGTGGAAGGATAAATGATTGGTTAAATAAACTAAGGTACATCTACACAATGTACGACTACACAGCTGTTAAGAAAAAGGAATTCATGAAATTTGCTAAGTGAAGAAAGTCAGAAGGAGAGGAACAGGCATAGAAAGACTGCCCTCATTTGTGGGATATATAAAATATCATTGTATGAGACTAATACCCAAGAACAGTAGAAACAAGTAGAAACAAGGGCCAGGATGAATGGTTCACGGTTGTCTTTAAGGATTCTTCTTCTCAAGCAAGGCATGAAGGAAATGGGTGTGTTGATGCAGGGCTGACTGTCTTCAAACTCACTATTCAACTTGGACCATAGATAGCTTAGAGGAGGGAAGCTGGGCTTGAGAACCCACATTTTCCGCATCACACTAACTTCCTTGAGATTCTTAAACAACTGAACATAGAGAAGTGGTGACTATTCCAAATATTGCAATTAAACTCCACGCCTACCAGGGCATGAGTAAGATGTTTGAAATAAATGTCTGATGTTTGAGAAATAAAATAAAACATAGGAAGAAAGGTAGATTTGTTTATAATGAAGAACCATGGGGACACAATCATATCTGTGAGGCAATTCAATTTATACAAAACATAAGTAGATAAGAACCATACCAGAATTCCCCATCATCGAGAGCAGCATGACATAGCCGCTTCTGCTCAACCGGATCAACAGAATGCCACTCATAAGAACTAGAAATAAACAAAGTCAGAATTTAGATACAAGGTCAAGAGCCAGTAACAGAATAAACGTAGGGGAGAAACACACTCTCTGCAAACTATAATATATATTTACTAACTGAACCCCAGAACTGTGCCAGGGGACTTAGAAACCAGTTGAAAAATACATTTTCAAATATGGCTGAATGAATAAACCTGGTGGCCATTGGTACTTCCTTTATAGGAGATTATCATGGGATCATAAATAGGATAGAATACCACCAGAGTAATGAAAAATTCCCAGCTGGAAGCCACCGTGCATGAAGTGCATTGAAGTGTCTCAGACCACTCACTTAACCTCTCCATTGTAAGCTCGTACTTTGAAAAGTGCACCTTACACAGAGTCTGTGAATGTAACCACCATGTACCTTCTTTATCTGTCCTTTCTAGGAGTCAGGAAAGATACTGTAAGTTAGATGTGCCCATCCTATGGAAAAGAGGGCTCAGAGGAAGAGCTGTCAATCATATTCCAAAACAGGAGTTCTGCCTCATAGTTCATGGTGTTCTGTGACTATACACAGTCACCTCAAAATATAACCAACCCTTGAAAAACTCAGGAATTATAGGTGATTGACATCCCACATAGTTGAAAATCTGTATATAAAACACACACACACACACACACACACTCCACTCCTTATTTCTGGATGCTGCATCTTCATATTCAGTGAACCCACATCCAAGGTTGTTCGAATTTGAGAATGTACAACATGTTGATAGAAAAGAAAGAATCCTACGATCAGTGAACTCTTGTAGTTCATATTAAGTTGCCATCACTGCGGTGCTATAACTATTGTGTCTACTTTATTCAAAACCTGAGATTCTGGACTTCTGGGGGATGATGCAGGTAAAACATGTTGTTGCAGACCAAGAAATAGAGTACTCCTGGTAAAGTATATTGGGAAAAAAATTATCTAGAGCCTAAACAAACCCAATGGCAAGAAGCCTTTGAGATAGAGAACCCATTTGAGGAAACCTGGAAAACCACAGAGATACAAAATTCCAGGTTCAGAGCATGGCTGAAATCCTTGGGAAGAAAGGCTCCGCTGTTGAACAAAGGGTACATGGCCAAACTGGGTTTAATCCCAACACCACACATAGTCCCCTAAAACCACCAAAAGTGTATCCTGAGTGCAGAGTCAGGAGTAAGTTCCAGGACTTACTCCTGACTTAAAAAAAAATTGAAAGAAGATCATCAACAAGAACTACATTTGGTGGGGCACTTTGGGAAAAGTATATAAATTAACATGGCATAGGAAAAGGTGCACATTGCTCACATCTCCCCATTCTGAGGAAATGGCCCACATTTCTGCCTGTGATATGTTTTTGGTTTTGGTGGTTCTATTTTTGGTTGGGGAGTCAGAGCTGAATTCCTGGCTTTGCGCTCCGGGATCATTCTTGGCAGACCTTATGGGTTGTCAGGGACCAAAACCAAGTTGGCCGCGTGCAAGTAAGTCAAATGCCCTTCTCGCTGTACTATCACTCCAGATCCTGAACCTGTGACTTCTAGAGACTGAGAGGAGGCATGAACAGAAGTTAGGGCTAACTTTCTTTCTTTCACGAAGAGTCAATTCCTTGCTTCAGCCCCAATCCACGACTCCCAAAAAAACATGGGTAATGAAGACCAGTTTCTGTGCTGTAGATACCAAGAAAGATTCAAGCTCAGCTTGACAACTGCCTGTGGGTCTGGTGGTACAACAGCGTCCGCACTGCATAGTTGTTTATAGTGACTTTATTAGTCCTAACCTGTACTAGGAACTTCCCTGGGTGACTCAGGTAGGATGAGTGGAGAGGATGGAAGCACTCTTTTCTCTAGGCGTCTACCTCCTCACTTCACCCAAGTCACCTGTCACTTACGGTGACACTGCCAGGAGTTTGTGACCTGCAGTATGATGTATGGACCACCCAGGGAACCCTGCTTTTTCTGGCAAGTCATCTCTCACCAGGTGCAACAGCAAAGTTTTCTCCAACTTTGACTCCAATTTAAATCCATGTTTAGGCAGAGGCAGAACAAACCGTTAAATCAAATAATCCTATGACCTGAAATAATCAAAACTTCTGTGGAAATGAAGTTTCCAGCTCCACTAGCCCAATTGGAAACACAGTATGCCTTATTTTATAAAAATAATAGGTGCCTAATTTAAGAGAACATCTGAGGTGAACAAATGGGAGTCCTAAGCTGTTTTGTGACAATCTTCCAGGCCTCATTAGAAACAATGATTCATTTGCTGTTAAAAAAAAATTTTTTTTTACCCTTCAAGGCCTCGGACAATAGCCTGTATTTTGACTTTAGTGTCATATATGCTAAAGTCCCTCCATGTGAGAGGTTATTTCTCTTCTTGTCATTACTTTTAATAAAACTTTCTACATGCTTCAAATTTCAGTCTGAAGTAATTATTCTGACCTTTTTCATTCTTGGAAACACTGAGAACTTGGGAATTAAACAATCACTGCAGAGACCTGACACTCTTGTATCCAAAGCACCACTGTCCTCTACAAGCTGTATACTCTTGAAATCAAGCAATTCTAAACATCTTATAAGATGAAGCAATTTCATTAATCTTGGTTTCATTATTTCCATCATTTCCATTTCCACCAGAAGAGGGAGTCCGTACCTTCCCTGATATCCTGTAGTCAGGTCTCAACCAAGGCCCTTCCTTTTAAGTATACTGAAGACAAAGGAGATATGGGCAGGGAGAGGTGTGGGTTGGGATATCCAGTGGTGGCAGGACAAGAGCAATCATGGGGATACCAACAGCCTCTAAAATGTGTTCTGTGTCCTCAGGTTAGGTTGGCTAACAAATCTCACCAACCCACTGATATTTGGCAACCTGGCAGCCTTGTCTGTCTGAGATGCTGACAAATACCTGATTGGCATTATTGCTGTGTTTAAGTTCTAGACTTTCTATAATACCTGAGCCTTGGGTGAGCAGAGGAGGTAGCTGGAACAAAAGATAAGAGAGTTGTGATTGAGGAAGGAGGGAATGAAGAGGTATCTTAGGGAGGATCCTGCTTATGCACACTTAAGCATACCCTCATCACAATCAGCTACTTCTTGAGGAACAGGTGGTACACGATCTAGAAAGGCAGACCTTTCTTTATGGTTGAGGTTAAATAAATATTTGTGGTCAATTACTACGTAATGCACAAATTTCCTATTCCATTTCCTCTATTTCATAACCAGGTAACTAGGCCTCTGGCTGACGTTCAGAATACCCGCTTTGGCAATATTTCAAGAATTTGCACACCCAAAATACTCATTGCCATCTTTTCTTCCACCCGAAATTCCCACACATATGCACACATGGACATACACAACTTATTCATAACTGGAGATAAAGCCTTTCACAACGTTGCGGGTAACAAAACATCCCTACAGGAAATAGTGTTTCAGTAGCATAAATATAATTATATAACATTTAACAATTCATTAAAGAATCATCCTTGAGAACCAAGGTGGAAAGCAAGGTGGCCTTAGGGACTGAAAGGGGAGGAAGTAAGGTCACCCAGAAGCAGGAAAAAAACTGTAGATAAACTTCCTCCTTCACATATCTTCACAAGTCAGCCCTGGTTCTATAAACCTCACCTACAAGAAGGTGGGAACTACCTGTCACTCCAAGACCCATTCCATTCCACCTGGCCCCAAGGGTTCCGGATTCTGATGAGTTTGGTTCTATGGCCTTGAAAACTTACCTAAGAAGACAAAAAAAATCAGAAAAATGTGAAAGTATAAATTCATGTATAAATTCGATAGATAGTTTAACTCTAGTCAGTACTGGAGTTCTTGACTACAACACCTTGAAAGCATGAAAAAATTTATCCATTTTTAATCAGTCCTTGGATTTTTCTAATTACTATTCAACATAGTGGCTATCATTACCAGAGATGTTCTATTAATCACACCGAGGTGTTTATGCTGCATCTGTGAAATAAAGTAGAATTGTAATTAACGAGAAATTTATCCACAAAAATGAATGATTTTTTTTCTAAATGGCATCTTTTCAGAGATGGATATAGAGGCTTATTTTTCCCATGATGCTAAAAAATCTAGAACAGCAAAAGGTTCTCAGAAGTGCTTAGAAAACTGGTGATAGGTTTTCTTCATCCTTAGCATCTTGCTGATGAGTGTGCACATGAGTCTATGTTAGAAATTTAAGCAGTAATAATAAAACTATCTCTAAATATTCTAAATCTAATATTCTTCTTATTTCAGGTATCATATAAAACTCTCTGCATTGTTAACCCTTGAGTTAGTGAAGAAAGTTGATTCTCAGGGGGATGGTTTTCACCAGCTGGTCAATCTGTACCTGTGAGGTGAGTGCATCAGCAGCCTGATGGTGCCTTCAGACTTCCAGATACCCCAAAATTGCTGTTGTGCCTTTGGCCAGACCCCAAAAACTTGGGGCAAAGTTTACCAAGAAAGTAATGGCCAAAAGTTAGGTATGTGGGAGACACACCCACAAACCACCTCCAGTTCAGCTATATAATTGGAAGCATGGCTTCTCTGGTTCCTGATCGAACTGCTTAACGGCCATGATCCCAGAGACTCAGAAACAAATCTCAAAACCCAACGGTTTTTGGCAGAAATGCGTCTGGTCCCTGCAGTAGGTCACCGGTGCCGGGCCACCCCAGGTGGGAATAGGTTTCGTGCCTTGGTCTGTTCCCCCTGGCAGCCCGGTGGCCGCCATCCTCCAGAGGCCACTGGACAGTCAGGTTTGGGCCCACAGTGATGAGACACATGGGGTCTCATGGGATGGGGGTGGAGCCGGCACTTTCCTCCCCATTCCAACGAGACCCCAAGTCACCGCCCACAAACTGCCTCTCTGGCTCCTGATCAAGCTGCTTAATAGCAATGATCCCAGAGACTCATAAACAAATCTCAAAATCCAGTGGCTTTTGGCGGAAATGCATCCGGATCCCGCAGTAGGTTACTGTCGCTGGGCCATTCCAGGGGAAAAGGGTGCTGTCCCTCGCCTGCTCCCTCTTGGTGGCTCAGTGGCCACCATCCTCCAGAGGCCATTCGACAATCAGATTTGGGCCCTCAGTGACAAGACATGTGGGGCCTCATGGGATGTGCGTGGAGCCGGCCCTTTCCTCCTCATCCCAACAAGACCCCGAGTCGCCACCCACAAACAGCCTCTCTGGCTCCTGATCAAGCTGATTAACGGCCATGATCCAAGAGACTCAGGAACAAATGTTGGAACCCAGCAGGTTTTGGAAGAACTCCATCCAGATTTAATTGTTAAAATTTTGGGGTTTTTTGTTTTGTTTTTGCTTTTTGGGCCACACCTGGCAATACACAGGGGTTACTCCTGGCTCTGCACTCAGGAGTTACTCCTGGTGGTGCTCAGGGAACCATATGGAATGCTGGGAATCGAACCCGGGTGGTCGCGTGCAAGGCAAACACTCTACCCGCTGTGCTATCTCTCCAGCCCTAATTGTTAAAATTTTGGAATTTCAAAATCACGCAGCCACTACTGCAGCCGTACGACATCATATGTTATTTATAACCAGCAATAGAAAACAAACTGTCTACTGTTGCCTTTTCGGCAAATCTGAGTGTTGGGGTAAAATCCCAAACAATAATGTGGGTCTGGTGTCAAAATATTGAATGTAATCAAAGTAGAGAGAGAGTAATGTGGAAGTCATCTGCCCCACAGGTAGAGGGAGGGTGTGGTATGGGGGTATACTAGGGTTTTTGGTGGTGGAGAATGGTGAAGGTACGGGTGTTTCGTTGTATGACCGAGACTTAAACCCAAAAGCTTTGTAACTGCTCTCATGGTGATTCAATAAATAAAATTATAAAAAATGAAAAAAAAAAGTAAGGTGGATTTCATACTCAATTCAATCAGCCTAATCAGTGGCTGAATCAATAGCAGTACTCCTACATTTAAAAAAAAGAAAGAAAAAGAAAAAGAAAGTTTATTCTGCCATGTCCTTCATGATCTGATCTGGAGCAAGAGAGAGAACTGGTACACATTATGAGGATTGTGAGAGAAAGAGAGTGGAGACAAAAGCTTCTGTTCACCAACTAATCAGAAATCATGTGTATTTGTCCTATTCATTTGACACAAATTGTGTTTTTGATGTGTGAAAATAAGTTACTACAAGGCTTACAGTGTATGATGTTTATTAATATAAATGTGTCGGGAGATAAATTCTTTAAAGTAGAAAGCAGAAGCAATGAACAGATAATGGAGGTTTTTGTTGTTACTTGGAATTGTGCTTGGGAAGAAGATTTAACATTAAAAATCACATGCCTGAGTGAATCCCAAAAGACAGCAGTTCACTGGAGATCTCTCCGGACCCCGTTCTGAACCAGTCTCACTGGGGCACCTCAGATGGAGCGGGGGTGCCCCTTCCACCCACTCCAGATGAAACCCCAATAAGCCACGATAAGAAAAACCCAGGTAGTGCGGATTCAGGGACTAAGACTCCAGGCCACATCAAATCACAAATCACAAATCATCCTGTTAATCGTCGATTGCCTCGAGCAGGCCCCAGTAACATCTCCTTCATCCTAGCCCTGAGATTATATTCAAAGCTCTTTAGGAGAATGAGACCCATCATTGTTACTGCTATTTGGCATATTGGGTACGTCACGGGGAGTTTGCCAGACTCTGCCGTGTGGGCAGGCTACATTCGGTAGCCTGCCAGTTTGTCCAAAGTAGGAATGAGATAATAAGATGTTATAATAGGATGTTGCGCAGCCACATGGTGGCAGCAAATGGATGTCCAGGCCACATGGTGGCAGCAAATACTTGCTGGCCATTCACATCTCCCCGCCCACTTGGGGTCCTGGTTGTTACGCCCATGATCTTCCTCTGCCTCCCGGCTCCATCTCAGCGCATCAACGGCCTTCATCCCGAAAGTCCAAAATGAATTTCAAAATAGATTAGCTCCCTATAGAGATGTCTTTGAATCCCAACGATTTACAATTTTACAATTCCAGGAGTGCACGGTTGCAAAAGTGGCCGCGTAACCTCTTATAATATTCATAGTAAGCAAAAGAAAATAAATTATCTAGCATCTGCCCCTGGCAGGCAGGCTTGAATGGTGTTGGGAAAATTCAAAATGATGGTGGTGGGAAGGTGTAAAGGTGGTGGGATTGGTGTTGAAATATTGAATGTAATCAAGTAATGTGAGCAACCTTATGAAATATTTTTTTTTAAATCACATGTCTACTCAAGTGTACGATTGGCAAGTTATGTATAGATAGGGAAAAATGTAGCTAAAAGAATCCTATATGTGTCACCCTAGAGATGCTCTGCCCACAATATCTTTGTGAGAAGGAATGAATGGGCATTCCATCTGTACTCTTTACTCCCCACTCATTTGTAGTGCTTCTCAAAATGTGGGCAGCAACAGGAGGAGTTCAGAGATGCCTGAGTCCTCTACAAACTGAGTTTGGAACTCACCTCCCAGAATCCCAGACTAGGCAAAGACAGAGTTTTGAAGTTCATTAGACTTAAATCTGAGAAAGTCAAGTATTTTGCTTCTTATTTTCTTCATCTTTTTCCTTCCTTCCTTCCTTCCTTCCTTCCTTCATTTTCTCATCCTTTCCCTCCCTCCCCCCTTCACACATCTTTCAAGGAGCTCTCCTCCAAATTCCAAACTCCAAACTCAACAGAAGGAAGAACAGTGCCAGTGTTGTATAATGATCCCTGGGGATCCCTGAACTAGAACTAAGGAGGGTTGAACTTGTGAAAGTAAATTTTTGAGGCATTTTTGGGAGCTACTACTAACACAATACTCAGGGGTCACTCCCACGGGTGCTTATTGAAACTTATGGTTCCAGGGATCAAGCACAAGTCTCCTGCCTGCAAAATCTCCCTGACCCCTGAATGTTAATTTTATTTGTCAATTTGACAATGCCATGGGATGCTCGTGTATTTGGTTATATGTTACCTGGCTATGTCTGTGAATGTGCTTTTGGATGAAGTTAGCATTTGAATAGAGTGAATAAATGAGATGAACTTCCCAATGTATATGGGTCATGTGTAATCAATTGAAATTCTGAATAGAACAAGAAGAAAAGGAAATTTTGCTCTCTGCCTCATAGCAAAGCTAGGACTTTGGTCCTCTTCTGCTCTTGGATTGGAACTTGCACTATTGGTTCTATTGGTTCTTTAGGAATGTTAACTAGAATTGTATCTACCTGGACTAGAACTGCCACTTGACAGATGGATGACCACTGACCTCAATATCCATGATCACACACATATATGCATGTGCTATACATTCTGTTTCTCTGCAAAACCTTGCAATGGTACTAAATGTGGAATTTGAAAGGAAAAAAAAGTCAAAACAAAGACCAGTTTCGTTTACCTGCTAAACAGGCATAAGATGTTGGAATGTGTGAGAGAAGCACATTTCTGTTTTCTGTTTTGAATTACAGTCTGCTTCATCTAGATGCAGCATTCTCTGAAATGCCTGAAAGTGTTGATGAAACTACAAAGCACAGAATAAGTAAATAGATGAACATGCCAAGTCTATCTCTGCATCATCCTGTCAATAGGGATTTATGTTGCCTACCTGGTCAATTCCCGTCACAGTGTAGGCATGACCCTTAATGAGACCTAAAGGTGTCCTGGCTTCAGATTCAGCAGCACTGTTTACCTAAAACATGAAAAGAGTAGCATTGTAAGTCAAACCTTCCTTTCCCGGCTTGCTCTATTAGGGTCTAGCGCCTCTCCCTCCCAGCTCTTTGCCTGCACTACTTTTCCCCCAACTGTGGACCTGGAATATGTCAAATTACTATATAAGACATCCATGTCACAAATGGATATCGGTTCCTAGTCTCAGCCCAAGGTGAGAAGCCCCTCAATCAGACTCCAGTGAGGAATTTTTTTTCTGACCACAAATAGAACAACTTGACTATCCCCATCATGTAGCAAGATAAAAAAAATAAACACGAGGAGAGAATAAGAAGCAGAAAATTGTATTACCTTACAACTTTATGTGATATACCTGAAAACTAAGAGGAAATGAATAATTTAGTAGCAAAGTATAAATTGATTTCAAAAGAAAAGTAAAACTAACAGGTTTCATAATTAGACTAGGTAAAGTACATCTAGTGTTTGCAAATGAAATTAGAAAAAAGTGATAGATTTGTATCTACTTATGTTTTATGGGCTGGAGCAATAGCACAGCGGGTAGGGCATTTGCCTTGCACGTGCCCAGCTGACCCAGGTTCAATTCCTCCGCCCCTCTCAGAGAGCCTGGCAAGCTACCGAGAGTATCTCACCTACTCAGCAAAGCCTGGCAAGCTACCCGTAGCGTATTCATTATGCCAAAAACAGCAACAACAAGTCTCACAATGGAGATGTTATTGGGCCCTCTCGAACAAATCAATGAACAACAGGAGGACAGTGCTACAGTGCTATGTTTTTATGAAAAATGAAATAAAAGAACTATAAAAGTATATAATAAGATTCTGCTTAATAAAATAAAATTGACCTATCCCTATGTTTGTGTATATTTATGTGTATGCTTACTTTTATGTAGAAAGAGAGAAATGTGAAGGACACATGCCAGGAGCAATTAATATGTAAGAGGAAGAGAGAAAAATACCTTTAAATATCTCAGGATTGTTTCATCTGGTACAACAAGTATGTTTTATCTTTATAATTTAAAAAAACTTAAAAACTTTTGTTTTAATTAAAATAAGTAACACGCTCTTTCTCCACTCCCACCCCCAAACTCATGATCCTCCTATGTCACCAGGGCACCTTCCCAAATCTCTAGCTCTATCACAGTAACTTTTAATACCAGCAAGTAAGTGACTTCTTACATCGATGGAACAGCTCACAAGGGAGCCCCTCTTCAAGGCCTTCTCTAGTATCTCGTAGAAGTTGTCTGGAATTTCTTTAGTTGTGAAGGTCTCAGCCACACCCCCAGTGAAGTCTTCCATTGCCTCAATGGCGCTGCCCCACTTCAGAGCCTCGTAGCTCCCATTTAACCTGAAAAGCAGACAAGAAAGCTTGGAAACTGATGCAGGGAATTAAAAATACCACAAAATAAAGGATGTTGGGAGGACCTATTCAGGTTGAAAGGTGTGTGCTGAAAGTAGACTATAGACCGAACACGTTGGCCACTCAATACCTCTGTTGCAAACCACAAAAGGAGAGAGAGCAAAAGGGAATGTCCTGCCACAGAGGTGAGTTGGAATGGGGGGATGGGCTGGGGGTGGTGGGAGGGATACTGGGAACATTGGTGGAGGAGAATGGTCACCGGTGGAGAGATGGGTAAATGATCATTGTATGACTGAAATGCAAACACAAAAGTTTGTAAGTTTATAACTGTACCTCATGATAATTCGCTAATAGGTAAAGGAAAAGGTAAAGGCCCTCCTGTTGATCGTCGATTTGCTCGAGCGGGCCCTGTAACGTCTCCATTGGAGACTTTGTTGTTCCTGTGTCTGGCATATCGAATACTCTCGGTAGCTTGCCGGGCTCTCCGAGAGGGGCAGAGGAATCGAACTCGGGTCGGCCATGTTGGCCGCTTGTAAGGCGAACGCCCTACCCGCTGTGCTATCGTTCAGTCCCCGATTCACTAATAAAAAATATAAATAAATTAATTAATTAAAGGATTTTATATTAATAAAAGCACAAAACAAAAATAAAAGTACCACTGACCAACTTAATAGGAACTATCCCTTATGCCTTGTTCTGGATTGTGTGGAAGCAGGTTTATTCAGTGTTCTTGATTTTTTTTTGTAGGAGTACTGCTATTTATTCAGCCACTGATTATCTGATTGAATTGGGCATGAACTCTACCTTGATTTTTTTCTTTTTATATTTATTTATTGAATCACTGTGGGAAAAGTTACTAAGATTTCAGGTTTAAGTCTCAGTCATACAATGATCAAACACCTTTCCCTTCACCAGTATTCATTTTTCACCACCAAGAACCCCAATATACCCCCCTCCCACCCCTCCAAATGCCTGTGAGGCAGATGATTTCTACTTAACTCTTCTCTACATTGATTACATTCATTATTTAGACAAAAGATGCATCATTATTGTTTAGAATTTCCCCCCAAACAATCAGAATTTCTGAAAAGGCATTGTGAAATATTTTGTTTTCTATAGCTGGTTATGAGAATCATATAATGTCACACAATTTTGGATTTCTGCAAAGAGCCAGATAATTACAAGATTGGTTTCTGTGTGTATGGTGTTATGGCTGTGCCGGAGAGCCACTCGTGGGGGGTAACTCGTGACCTCAGTAGGGCGTGAAGGATGTGTTGGTACCGCCCTCCCTTCCCATGAAACTGCAGTTGCCCCGTCACCGCCGGCTCATACCTGGCTTTCCAATACACTCTGAGGTGGCGGCCACTTTGCTGCCAGAGAGGGAAAAGGCGGAAGGGAGCAACACCCTTTCCCTCCTGGGGAGGCATGTCACTGTAGTTTAACACATGGTCCATTCACTTTTCTTCTGCAAGCTGCTGGGCTCTGGACTAAGTCCTTTTGCCTCTGGAGCCATGGCCATGCCAGAGAGCCGCTTGTGGGGGCTACTCATGACCTCGGTAGGGCGTGAATGACGAGCCAGTACTGTCCCCCTTCCCATGAGACTGCAGTTGCCCCGTCCGCCGGCTCATACCTGGCTTTCCTATAAGCTCTGAGCCGGCGGCCACCTTGTATGCAGTCCAGATGCATTTCTGCCAAAAGCTGCTGGGTTTCAAGATTTGTTTCTGAGTCTCCGGTATCATGGCTATTAATCAGCTTGATCAGGAGCCAGAGAGGCCGTTAGTAGACAGTGGCTCGGAGTCTTGTTAGGATGGGGAGAAAGAGTCGGCTCCACCCCCATGTGTTGAGGCCCCATGTGTCTCGTCACTGCAGGCCCAAACCTGACTGTCCAGTGGCCTCTAGAGGATGGTGGTCACTGGACCGCCGGGGAAACAGGCCAAGGCACGAAACCTATTCCCACCTGGAGTGGCCCAGCACCAGTAACCTACTGCAGGAACAGGACGGATTTCTGCCAAAAGCCTTTGGGTTCCGAGATTCGTCTCTGAGACTTTGGGATCATGGCCATTAAGCAGTTTGATCAGGAACCAGAGAGGCCATGCCTCCAATTATATAGCTGAGCCAGAGATGGTTTGTGGGTGTGTCTTCCACATACCTAACTTTTGGCCGTTTACTTTCTTGGTAAACTTTGCCCCAAGTTTTTGGGGTCTGGTCGAAGGCACAGCAGCAATTTTGGGGTATCTGAAAGTCTGACGTTGCCATCAGACTGCTGATGCACTCACCTCACAGGTACAGATTGACCTGCTGGCGGCACCATACCCCCTTGTTCTTGATTTTTTAAGTTCTGGTTATTTTATTTTTTAAAAGAGCTGGCCCTGAAGAACACTTCCTAATGAGGACATGAGATGATATGCCTGGAAGTAATTTCTTTTTGTTATTTCAAGAATATTAATGACACTGAATCATCAGTGACACGAGTATTTGCACATATGGTTTAATCCTATTATATTGGCTTTTTTTTATGACATGGTTTTAATATCAAGGTTGAACTCAAGAGGGATTTCCAGGATAACTCTATTGTCATTGAGCACAGAAGGCTTCTGTGGCCTTTTGCTGGCAAGTTGATGAACTGGGAATTAGGAGTGCAGGAGGATAATAAGGCTAGTTGACTCATGAATAAAAATGGTGGCGTTTGTTTTGGTGGTGGTGAGATATAGTGATTGTTTACTATTATAAATATGGTATCTTAACTACAACAATAATACAAATATAAGCATAAATATGATAATATCCTTTATTCTACTTTTAAAAAAATTATTCTTATACTTTTTAGGCACCATACTTTATAATACTATTAATGGTGTGGTTTCTTGCATAAATTATTCCAGCATCACACTCTCCAGCAGAGTGTTTGCTTCCCTCAACCATTTTCCTAGTGTCTCCCCATCTTATTCCCCCCACTCGACATTTCCCCACCCATGATAAGCTTCCTACTTAAGACCAGTTGTCGATTTCTATTTCCTTTGGGCATTGATGGCATTCCTAAGTTAGACAGGTTGCTGGACAGACTTAGAAAAAGAGGAATAGGTAGCTGGTGTTTAATTTGTGCAGAGTTTTAGTTTTGAAAAATAAAAGTTCTGGATATGGATGATTAATATGTTTGCAAAACTCAGTGAATGTACTTGCACTTTCTTCCGATTTTATACTTAAAATGGTTAAGATAATAAATTTACGTTTTTCTTAAAATAAAAGAAAGAAACATTACAAGACAGTGGGCAGCAGAAGTTACTGCCTCAATCTTTTAATCTCTAAATCTCAAGTCTTTCAGTTCTGGCAGGGCTTGTTGGAAAGTCTGGAGAATCAAGTACTGCTAACACATCCAGAATATTCATCCACTTATCCTACTTGCTCTTTTCTTAATTTTTTTCTTTTTAAAAAAATTTAACTCACCATGAGATACACAGTTACAAAGAAGTTCATGATTGTGTTTCAGTCATACAATGTTCCAACAACCATCCCTTCACCAGGTACATTTCCCACCACCAATGTCTCCAGTTGCCCTCCCAGCACTCTACCCCTAGCCTACCTCTATGGCAGACACTTTACTCCTCTCCCTCTCTCCCTCCCTCTCTCTCCCTGTTCTTTCTTTCTCTCTGTCTCTCTCCTTTTGGGAATTATGATTTGCAATACAGGTACTGAAAGTTATCATGTATACCCCTTTACCTAATTTCAGCACTCAGTTCTTGTCCAGAGTAGTATCTCCAGTTATCATTGTCATAGTGGTCTCTTTTCTGTTCTGCCCCCCCTCCCACACACACACACAGTTATGGCAAACTTCCTACCAAGGACGAGACCTCCTGGCCCTTGTTTCTACTGTCCTTGTGTATTAATCTCATACAATATTCTTTTATATACTATATATGAATGCAATCAGTATATGTCTGTCCCTGTCCTGACTAGCATGATACTCTTCATGTTTATCCATTTATAAGCAAATCTCATTACTTTATTTTTCCTGGCACTGGTTGTATTCCATTGTGTAGATGTAGCATCATTTCTTTATCCAGTATTCTGTTCTTGGGCATTCATGTTATTTCCAGATTCTGGCTATTGTGGATAGTGCTGTAAAAGTCAAGTGCAGATGACTTTTCTGGGATGCGATTTTGGGCCCCTAGGGTATATTCCCAGGAGTGGTTTTGCTGATTTATATGGAGGCTAAATCTCTAGTTCTTTGAGGAATGTCAATATTGTTTTCCAAACAAGCTGGCATTCCCATAAAAAATAAATGAGTGTCCCTTTTTCCTGCATTCATGTCAACAATGATTGTTCTTGTTCTTTTTTATATGTTCCAGTCTCTGTAGTGAAAGATGATATCTCGTTGGTGTTTTTGGTTTGCATCTACTTGATAATCAGTAATGTAGAGCAGTTTTTCATGTGCCTCTTGGTCATTTGTAATTTCTTCTTGGACAAAGTTTCTGTTCATTTCCTCTCCCCATTTTTTGATGGGCTTGGGTGCTTTTTTCTTATGAAGTTCTACCAGTACTTGCATATCTTTGATATTAGCCACTTATCAGATGGGTACTGGGTAAACAATTTCTCCCATTCTGTAGGCTGTATTTGTATCTTGGTCACCATTTCCTTGAGGTGCAGAAGCTTCTTAGTTTAGTGTATGTTTATCTTTGCCTCCACTTGGTCAGTGGTGTTTCATCTATGAAGATGCCTTTAGCTTCAGCGTCAGGGAGGGTTTTGCCTATCTTTCCTTCTATATAACTTATGGATTCAGGTCTGATATTGAGGTCTTTAATCGATTTTGATCTGACTTTTGTGCCTGGTGTTAGAAAGAGGTCTGAGGGGTTCTTTTGGCGGGGGAAGGAGGAGTTTGCATGTAGTTGTCCTTTTCTCCAAGCACCACTTGTTGAAGAGGGTTTTTTGATCCACTTCATATTTCGTGCTTCTTTATCAAAGATCATATGTTTGAGAATCTGTGCCAAGATAGTCATCTTTGTTCCAAGATCATGCTGTTTTAATTACTATTGCTTTGTATTACAGTTTGAAGTGGGGAAAGTGATGGATGCCTCCCATATTCTTTTGCCCAAGGATTGCTTTAGCTATAAATAAGGGGGTTTATTTTACCTTTTACCTATTGTTCCATATGAATTTCAGGAGTGTTTGCTCTATTTATTTGAAAAAATGTCATAGGTATCCTTATAAGGATTGCACTGAATCTGTATAATGCTTTGGGAAGTATTGCCATTTTGGTGGTGTTAATCCTCCCAATCCATGAGCAAAGTATGTGTCTCCATTTCCTAGTGTCCTCTTTTATTTCCTGAAGTACTATTTTATAGTTTTCTTCATATAGGTCCTTCATCTCTTTAATTAAACTTATTCTGAAGTAACAGTTTTCTGCAACATAATTGTAAATGGGATTTTTAACATCTATTTTTTGGTTTTATTTTTTGTACAAAGAAAAACCATTGACTTTTCCTTATTGATTTTGTAACCTGACACTTTACTATATATATTATATTATATATATATATATATATTCTAGAAGCTTTTTTGTAGAGTCTTAAAGATTTTCTAAGTATATTATCATGTCTTCTCATGTCATCTGCAAATACTGAAAGCTTGACGACTTCCTTTCCTATCTGGATTCCCTTGATATACTTTTTCTTGCCTAACTACTATGGTCAGTATTTCCAGTACTATATTGAATAAGAGTGGCAATACTGGGCAACTTTGTCTTGTGACTGATCTTAGAGAGAAGGCTTTTCGTTTTCTCCCATTAGAATAATGCTTACTGTGGGTTTATGATAGATATTTTTTTACTATATTGAGGAAAGTTCCTTTAGTTCCCATTTTGTTGACAGTTTTTATCATGAACGGTTGCTGGATCTTGTCAAAAGTCACATTTGAATGCAGGTGGAGAAAGAGGATGAGTGCTTCCATTATGATCACGTATTAGAGAGAAAACTGTTGTGGTTGCTCCATTAGTGCCTAATCTTAACCAAACCCCCAGCAGGAAATCCCTACTGTAGCACTTGTAATATGGTGCCTCTATCTCCTGCTCCCAAGCCCTCTGAAAGGATTCTGGGGAATATAGAGTCCCTGAGACAAGGGTCTGCAGAAGCTTGGATGCTAGCACTCACTTGGCATAGGCTTTTTCCAGCAAGGCGCTCCAGAACTCGTTTTGATCAGCAGAGTGGAGAAAAATTAAACGGTCCTTGAATGTGGGCAGCCGATCATCAATCACCACATCCAACCACTCATTGTATTGCCAGAACTGTTGGCCAAGGAAAGAAACAGAAATTATGATGATGTGTCATATGGAGGGCTAACCCATACAGAGGGTTAATCCCGTTGTAATGCATATCAGTTTGTTGGTTTTTTTCCCCTCCAGACTAAATGGAGAATCTTGATGAAAATTGCAATTTGGGGACTTCTGAAGCCATGGCGGTGCAGGCCGGGGTTGAAATCAAGGACAGAGCAGAGGGTCTTGGGACATGCAGGACCCAGGCAGGTGACAGACCCATTTCCAGGTTTGAGGTGCAAGGACCTAATACCTCTTCTGTAAGTGAGGCTGTTTTCTGCCTGGGTCTCGCCAATCCCATGGAGCTCTGTCATTGACCTCCACCCCACCCGCTGAGGCTCCGGAAGCCACTCCCATCAGGTCTCTGACCTGTATTTGGAGGTGTTAGGTCCAGCGGTAAAAGTCCAAACCACACAATTCACAGTGGTAAAGCAACGCAGAAACCCACAAGCTTAGTGAGTGAAGCTATATAACCTCTCTAACAAGCGATTTAGAAGGGAGATAAATCTCAAATAATAAAATCCTGGACAAATGGACCTCTAGAATTTAAATTTTTGCTTCATTCTGTTCTCTTACAATACATTCAGAGATTATTCTGTAACAACACAAGATTTGAGCATGAATTTTGACAAAATGTCACATAGAAGAGAATCACATTCCTCCCAGATTATCAGGCAGTTACAAAAACACATGGTCACTGGTCCGAAAGAGGCAGTCCACTGACCAAGATGCTTCCTTACCTGGAAATGGAATATTCCTGCATAACCAGGGCCAAAGCTTTGGTCCTGAGGAACAACTCTAGCCAGAGCTTTTTCATTAAGTGTAAGGGAAGCAATGGCAGCCAATAACCAGCAATCACCTGAAAAATGGAAATTCATAAATCAGAGTTTTCACGTATAATTAATGGTGAATGGGAAACCCTATGTCAGACTACATAGAGAATTCCAGATATGGCTGTGCCTTGTGAATTACTTTTTAAAAATAGAAAGATTATCAACAAGTAATTTTTCTTCTCCTGATTCCTCTTCCCTTCTCAGTTTAGCACAAGCAGCTGTCATTGTCTTGGCCTTATTGCAGGATATGCTTATCTGGATTTCAGGTTGCATATGCATCAGCTATTTGAAATTCCAGTGAGTTTCCTTCTAGAAGACCAAGGATGCAAAAGTGGTGTGGGTTTGGGGAAGGAGGGCAGTAAGCAGATATTTGTACCTGCTTGGGGAGGGTGCTCAGAAAGAACTTTGCATTGAGGTACTAGGTGTGCCTGGAGGGAAACTAGGTTCTATCTCCCTGTATCATTTTATAATTAGAGGAGTGCCTTACCCCATGTTGTCCTTTATTCACCTCACACAAACTAATTCCAGGTGGTAATACTCTAGTTATCTGCAGAAATATTCTCACAACAGTCTTCATCATTAAAATAGAGCTAACCCAGCTTATTCTACTGAAATTCCTTCACAATGCTGTGGAGATGGCTATAAAACATTAGAGTCTGACTACCCACACAAAAATTGCTATCATTTAAACAGAGGGTTCTAGTTCTGACCCCAATGTTCATTGCAGCACTATTCACCATAGCCAAAATCTGGATATAACCCGAGTCCCCGAGAACAGATGACTGGATAAAGAAACTATGGTACATCTACAAAATGGAATATTTTGCAGCCATGAGGAAGAAGAAAGTTATAAAATTTGCTTATAAATGGGAGGAAATGTAGAGTATCCTGCTGAATGAAATGAATCAGAAAGAGAGGGACAGGTATAGAATAAATGCATTCATTTGTGGGATAATACTAATACCCAAAAGCAACAAAAACAAAGAACAGGGAAACTGGTCTCCAGTAGGAAGCATGACACTTAGGGGAGTGGGAGGATTGGACAGGGAAAGGAAGAGGAAGAGGAAGCTGAAAGTATGCATGAAACCCTATTTGGAACAGAAGTATAAACCAAAGTGTCAAAAGTGATTTTTTAGTGCCTCTCATAGAAGCAGTGGGTGGGTGGGAAGAAAACGAGGCTGTGGGGACACTGGAGGAGAGAGGTGGAGAGGGGTGAAAGGATGGGTGTTGAAATATTATATTCCTAAAACCCAGTCATTAATAACTTTGTAATTCACAGTAAATTAATAAAAAAGATTAAACTAAAACTTTACAAAATTAAAAAAGCAATAAGAATAGAGCCCTGAGGTAATCCAGCTACTTCACTTCTTGATGTCTACCTCTCAAAACCAAAAAATTTATCCACACAGATACATACACACCTATGTTTATTTCAGCACTAGTATAAGGTAAAAGGTAAAGGCCCTCCCGTTGATCGTCGATTTGCTCGAGCGGGCCCAGTAACGTCTCCATTGGAGACTTTGTTGTTACTGTGTCTGGCATATCGAGTACTCTCGGTAGCTTGCCGGGCTCTCCGAGAGGGGTGGAGGAATCGAACTCGGGTTGGCCATGTTGGCTGCGTGTAAGGCGAACGCCCTACCCGCTGTGCTATCGCTCCAGCCCCAGCACTAGTATAATGGCCATAATTTGGAACCAATCCAAAAGTCTCATAGATGAATGAATAATGAGTATTTTTGTTTTTTATGGGACATATCCTACATGTACTCAGAGTTTACTCAATGCAGACTCAAGAATCATTCCTGATGGAGTCAGAGGACCATATGGGTTGAAGGGATTGAACCCGGGCAAGCTGCATGCAAGGCCAGCATCCTGCATTCAGTACTATCACTCTGGCATTGGATAATGAATTTGTGGTGTACATACACAATGGAATGCTGTGAAGTTACAGGAATGATGAAATCCTGACATATATTGCAACCTCTGTGGGCCTGGAGTATGTCACATTAACTGAAGTAAGCCAGAGGAGGACAAATACTGGATGTTCTCACTTATCTATAGTACATATAACAACATAGACAAGGGAATCAAAAATGGGCAAACTTTGGCCCTAGATTACAGAAATGAAAATGTCAAGGAAGGAGAGAAATTGAGGAAGAAAAAAATTGGTGATCTTGAGGTAACATTGGGAAAATGACTGAAGGTCTTTGATGCAATAGTGGTATAAATGTGAGGTACTTGTGTACCTCAAAACCACTATGACCAACAATACCTCAAGTATGGTACCCAAACTACAATTAAAGCTAATAATCTTTCTATTAAGTATTTTGCTGAGAGATTGGAGGGAATCTGAGTGCACTGGTAGAGGGATGTTGACACTGGTGGTGGGACTGGAGTTGAAATATTATATGCCAGAGACTCAATTATTAATAATTTTATAAATCATGGTGCTTAAATATAAAATAAAAGTTCAGAAAATAAATAACTTTGTGTCGTCTTGTAGTACTTTTGGGGAACTGGTGCCTTTCACTAATCCAGACTCAGTTTAGTTGTACATAACAATTCAAACTGCATCTGCTTTCAATCGGTTTTTAGTTCTATGATTTGTTAATGATTCACTTTTTCCCCAGTTCTCTTTCATGTTAATATATATCTAGGAAAACTAATAACTGAAGTTAAGCACCAAATGTTCATACCAAACTCCTTATAGGCAATCTATTTGCCCACAGTGACTCTGGGATTCTGTGTTTAAGTTAACAGTTTGTCTTGCATGCAGTGTAAACATCAGCACAAACGTTTCATTATGGTCCATGTTATTAACAACTGAATAAATGTCTGAGTCTGATCAATGTTACTGACAAGTTTGACATCTTTCATTAATTGCAGTGTTACTTTTTTCAGATAAAACAAAAGTAAACCAAGCCCAATTTTGGACCAAACCTGAAATGTTCCCTATCTGGAGGCATTCAGATAAATTGTAGGAAGAATATTAGGTTGATCTGAAGTTGGGTGGTCTTCCCCAATGTATGAATCCCCATGGTGTGACAGTGTGACATAGGCATATATTTGGATGTTGACTCTGCTTATTTATCACTTCCATGACATTGAATGACTTATGTAGATGAGTCCTCATCTCTGAAATCGGTTGAATGATTCATCTCTGAATCTGTAGAATCAGGAGGGTAATTTAGGATGATAAAATGAGTCAATACATGCTTAGAAGAAGAATACATGTCTAAGATAGCCAAGTTAGTGTATGTGTTCTGAAATTAGAAATACAGATTAATTCATCTGGATATCTCTGTTATTTTTGAGCCCAAGACCACGCATACATTCATTTACAAATGTTTTAGGGGTTTTGGGTTCACTGAATTCTGTTAAGTCAGGGAATAGAGCAGCAGACTGGAGAAGGAGGAAGCAGTGTGGTAGCAGTGACTCTCTCCCATTCTTTGTAAATGTCCAGGACTCTCAGATATTTTGGCTGTGGTGGCAGCTCAGATGCCTCATCTCACTGGCCTCCACAAGGTGGTCAGTTCCACCTCTACCTCTTTAGGCTCATCTCCCCCCACTTACCAAGTTCTCCTTGGCAGATATCAGTTCTGGTGGCCCGTCCAAGAATAAATTCTGGGTTTTTCACTATTTCCTACAAGAACAAAAACAGTGTTAAAGTGGGCCTCTACTCTTTTGCAGCATGATGGAGCAGGCTCAGGATCCCTTTGCTTCCTTGGAATAAAGGGTTTTTTTCTTTTATTTTTTCTCCTGGTGAATGGATATAAGGCTGTGGGGACTCTACTCCCTGAGATTATCTTTAGTAGATCAATCCCCCAGGGAGAAATCCTCCTTTTTTGACCAACCATTGAGTACCACCTTCCAATCAAATAGACTCCAACTTTGCCTCTGTTAGCCAAACACTGAGGATTTCCCATGGTTTTTGGGCCTTGATCCAGGAGTCTAAACCCATTGCTTTGATACCTTCCCCCTCAATTATGAGCATCTTAGTCCCGGTGACCTTTAAATTCCTCTATATAAAAGAAAGTAGTAAAGACTGTAGGGATAGCTCAGTGTCACAAAGTGGCTGGAAAGAATAAGGATGAGAGTTTATTTTGTGGTGCTGCTCACATCTACCTATCCAGGTTAGGGAATTCCTGGTGCTACAACCAAGTGTGTGATCTCCGGTCAACTGCAGTCAGATGTACACGTTTACCCCAAATTTACCCTACATAGCACACATGTAAATGGCATAATGATCCCCAGTCAGAACCACAACCAAAAAGAATGAGAACCATGGCAGGCTTGTGTGTGACTCCTACTCTTTGTAACAAATACAGCAGCAACAAGAAGGATAAGGTGGGGAAGGAGAAAAAAATTAATGGGGTAATACACATGTTTAGGATTAAGTATGAATTCCCACTTCCTGCCCAACTTTTAAAATATGCATTTATATATATTAAGATATATATGCACATATCTTTCCTATAATTTGTATACTATATATAAAATAGTATATGTATATAATCATCAATACATTTGTAAATAACATGAAAGGTGGTGTAGAAAACTTTAATGAAGATATGTTAGAAAACATATAAGACCTATGCATTCCTTTGTGTTTTGTAAGGAGAGGACCCAGATTCCATTTCTGGCATAGACTGCTGTCAGAACAGTAGAAAAAGAAGGTAACTTCTGGGGTTATGAGTGACCATAAGCAGGAGGAAAGGCATGTAGGTCCCCTAAGGCTAGGATGGAGAGATGGCGTGCGAGGACCTCTCTCAGAACAGTTAGAAATGGTTATCCAAAGAAGAAGCCAGTTGAACTGATAGCCTGTGAAGGTTGGAAGAGGGAGTAACAAGTCTTGATTTATAGATGAAAGTTCTGCAGCTCAGCAGATGCTCCCCCATTTGTTGGATTTGTATGCAGATTACAAACTTTTCCTACCTAATTGTATATACCAGCAACGGAAACAAGAAACACCTCACCGTTATCTGGGCAAAGACTTTGGGGAGAGCTCTGCCTTGAATTTTCTTCTTCTAGCTCCCCAAATCCTTTTTATTCCTCTGGTCTGTGTCCCAAAGAATCTGGGGAAAATGGTTATTTCTTTGGAGGAAGAGGGATTCTCAGGGGTAAAAGCTAAGTGCCTAATAATGGTACTAGATTTGCAAACACTAGAATGTGTCAGACTTGTGGGTTATAGGCACACAGAAATCTTATCAGAGAGTACACTTAGGATCTTTTAAGCTTTTAAAATATTCCCTTGGGGGGTATGATGCCACCAGCTGGTCAATCTGTACCTGCGGGGCAAGTGCATCAGCAACCTGATTGTGCCTTCAGGCTTCCTGATACCCCAAAATTGCCACTGCGTCTATGGCCAGTCCCCAACAACTTGGGATCAAGTTTACCAAGAAATTAGACAACCAAAAGTTAGGTATGTGGGAGCCACACCCACAAACCACCTCCAGCTCAGCTATACAAGTTTGTTTATTGGCCTTACTTCAGAGACCCATAGATAAATTTCGAAAGAGATCCAAAGCCACAGTTAATCTCAGACCCGCACATGGCTGGACAGACTGGGGTAAGTCTGAAAGGGACGGGTTGGCCTGGTGGCCCACCCAAGCAGAACTCCAGCAGTCGCTTGCTTCCACAGTCCAAAATCCCTGCCATATCCCCGGCCTGACTTTACCATCTCAGGACGAACCTCACCAAGATATAATCTGCTGAAAATTCTGGTATGTGGGTTCCATGACTGAAATCTCCAGGCTTTATCAGAGTTGGGGTGGGCTACCTCCCCCTACTTCCCAATACACATGGAAGCACTGGCAGTAACCCCCACGAGCCAACTCCAGCACCACCCTGAAAGCTCTACTGCTGACCTTGCTTTAGAGACCCCTAAATAAATCTCAAAAGAGATCAAAAGCCACAGAAAAGCTTGGACCCATGCATGGCTGAACAGACCGGGGTAAATTGGAGGGGGGCGGGTTGACCCCTGCCTGTCTAAGCAGAGCCCCCAGCAGCCACTTGTTTCTACAATCCAAAATCGCCGCAATACCCCCAGCCTGACTCCACTGTCTCAGGATGGACCTCACCAAGACATAATCTGCTGAAAATTTTGTAATGTGGATCTTAGCACACCAACAGCTCTGACCCAAAAACATAGCAGCAAGTCTCAGAAGATACCACAGCGCCAGAGATCTCTCCAGGCCCCATACCAGGCAAATTTCACTGGTGCACCCCAAATGGAGCAGGTGCAGTCTCCCTGCCTACTCCAGATGAAATACCGGTGATCAAGAGTTTCCACAAGCAAGGTCCAGGTATGCAGATTCCAGGACTGAATCTCCAGAATACAGGCAAGGCTCAGATGCCCAAGAAAGTTCAGTTTCAGGCAGGGCTCTGATGCCCAGTTACTGATAAGGTGCTGAACACTGGAGTCACACCAAACACAAGTAGCCATGGCCTAAGAAATCTGGGACATGATGACAGGAATTTTGGGGTACAGTTTGAAGGTCCAGTGACAGGTACAGAATATGTTGTCATGGCTGGAGATTGGGAAAAGCATAAAAGAGAGAGAAAATGATGCAGAATTAATACCTGGCCATCATTCATGGGAGCTAGTGAACTCTTGAATGAGACAGGAGGAGAGAAGAGGATGTTCACTGGAAAGGGCAACATCAGGGACAGGACCAATGACATTATTCAAGGGTAAAGGTGAGATCTGGACATCTGGAGAGGATGCTGTACCAAACTGCTTTATTTCTTTTAATCTTTTGAGTTTTGGGTGCAAATCTTTCATACAATTCTCAAGAACCCATCAGTGCAGGAAAATCCACTTTCACACTATCAGTTCTGCACTGAAAGATCACTCCTGGAGAACCACATGGGGGCCCAGGGTTAGAACCCAGGTAGGCCAAGCACATTACACACTGTACTGTCATTCCAGCCCCACTGATAATTATTCTTAAAGGGGACCTAAAAATAGATACAGAAGTCTGGGAGGGCCCCGTGCTTAGGCAGCTGTATGATCGGAGTGTGGAGATGCCTTCCTTCCCACCTTGGCTGCAGCATCCCTCTGTAGCTGCAGCTGCCACAGCTTCTCAGCACTGTGTTATAATTGATTCTGTTTGGGTTTTTTACAGGAGCATTTTTGTTTTATCATAAATTACCCAACTACAGACTGATGGGAAGTATAAAAGGGGGAAACTCAGTCTCATTTAGTGAACACTAGTCATCAGATCCATCCCTGGATATGTAACATACATCGGTAAAACCAGTGTTTCTGTGAGGAGGCATGTTCATGGACCTCATTCAGAGAGTTCGGTATATGCATACTGAAGGCACAGTTGTGTTGTGAATGAAGACCGTGTTCTACACCCATGTGCCTCGTGCCATGAAGTGGTGTATATTTAAAGTTGTGGTATCAAGGATATACAAAGCACTGGTTGAACTCTACAAGAAGAAAACATCTAACCCCATCAAAAAATGGGGTGATGAAATGAACAGACACTTTCCAAAGAAGAAATCCAAATGGCTAAAAGGCACATGAGAAAATGCTCTACATCATTAATCATCAGGGAGATGCAGATAAAAACAACAATGAGATATCATCTCACACCACAGAGACTGGCCCACATCCAAAAGAATAAAAGCCTGTGTTGGCATGGAGGTGGCAAGAAAGGGACTCCCCTTCACTGTTGGTGGGAATGCCAACTGGTTCGGCCCTTTTGGAAAACAGTATGGACGATTCTCAAAAAATTAGAAATTGAGCTTCCATTTGACCCAGCAATACCATTCCTAGGAATATATCCTGGAGAGGCAAAAAAGTACAGTCGAAATGACATTTGCACTTCTATGTTCATTGCTGCACTATTCACGATAGCCAAAATCTGGAAATAAAAGAGTGCCCGAGAACAGATGACTGGTTAAAGAAACTTTGGTACATCTACACAGTGGAGTAGGATGCAGCTGTTAAAAAAGATGAAGTCATGAAATTTACATACAAGTGGTACTACATGGAAAATATCATGCTAAGTGAAATGAGTCAGAAAGAGAGGGACAGACATAGAAAGACTGCATTCATCTGGGGAATATAAAGTAACAAAATAGGAGACTAACACCCAAGAATAGCTAAGATAAGTACCAGGAGGTTCACTCCATGGCTTGAAGGCCAGCCGCACATGCTAGGGGAAAAGGCAGCTCAGATAGAGAAGGGAGCACCAAATAAAGGGTGTTGGGAGGAGCCTCCCAGGATAAGAAATGCATGCTGAAAGTAGACTATAGACAGAACATAATTGCCACTCAATGCCTCTTTTGCAAACCACAGCACCCAAAAGGAGAGAGAAAACAAAAGGGAATGCCCTGCCACAGGGGTGGGGTGGGATAGGGGGGTAGGGAGTGGGAGGGATACCAGGAGCACTGGATGTGGAGAATGGGCACTGGTAGAGGGATGGGTACTTGATCATTGTATAACTGAAACCCAAGCACAAAAAATTGTAAGTCTACAACTGTACCCCATGATGTTTCACTAATAAAAAATTTAAAAAATAAAATAAAAAATAAAAATAAATAAATAAAGTTGTGGTTCCTCTGAGACCACACATGTATTACTTGTGTAGGAATGTGGAATATACCCATCTGTGTGTATGTTACACATACCATGAGTACTCTGTGCGTATGACTACTCTGAGTGCATAACATTTGAGCCAGGGAGTCGTAAATATTTGTGTAGACCCCAGAGGTAATATTATTTAGCATTAGAGGATAAGGTTTTCCTGAAACTTAAATCTGAGTTGAGAGGTAAATCTGAAGTGAATCCAGAGTACAGCTTGGAAACCCAGGAATGAAGGAGCAGGTTTCAGCACAAGAGCTGATTTTCTAGGAAGACCAAGAATGAAGCAAGAAGGAAATTCTGTCCTTAGAGACTGTAACTGTGCATGATCAAGGACTCGTTCAGATACACATAATTTCCTCTACTAAGCAATTATTTGGAAAGGGAAAATTCACCTTTCTAACAAGGCTATGATCGAAAGCTGTGTGTTACTCTCAAGATATGTGTGTGTGTGCCTGCTATGGGTGGGAGTAAGTATAGATGCAAAGGAAACTTGAGCCTGTGGATGAGGGCTATGTGCAGTCTGCCAGGGGACCATAGTCTGAACTAAAGGGACATTCATTCCTTCTAGTTTGAAAGTGTCAGGTTTAGGCTTGGAAGTTGGGGGAAGAAGTTTATGAAAGAAAGAGGATAGATATTGGCTGACAGAGAGATGGGACGAGAAAGGAAGTCAAGGCACCCAGGAATTGGGGCTGGAGTGATAGCACAGCGGGTAGGGCGTTTGCCTTGCATGTGGCCGGATTCCCAGCATCCTATATGGTGCCTCGAGCACTGCCAGGAGTAATTCCTAAGTACATGAGCCAGGAGTAAGCCCTGTGCATCGCAGAGTGCAACCCAAAAAGGAAAAAAAAAAAAAGACACCCAGGAATCAGGGGCCTTGTATGAACTGCATTGTGGTCATTTTCCCCATCACCAATCAGTCTAGGATCCCCCATCATTTGAGATACATTTAATTTTTCTTAGGTAAACAATCCTCCAAGAAGGATAGTGCGGACTACACTCTGGGGACATTCTCATTTCTTTGAGTTGAGCCTGTAGGCTCCCTATGTGCCAGCAGATTATCCTCCCTGGACACTCTCTAGGGCTCGCTGGCTCCCACCTTCCTGTCCTGTTGACATCACTGATTCACCTCTTGTGTGCCTCTCCCCTGCTTCCAAACACAGCTGTGTTTGACAAGAAGGTGGTACTAGGGTCCTGCCTCAGAGTCTCATGCACTACTCAAGTGCTGAGCAGAAATGTAAACAGCACCCAAGCCATAAAGTTCTTCTGGAAGAATACTGACAACTCTCACCATAATTCTGTTGCTCCCCTCAGTCCATACTAGGAAACTTGGACCTCTGTCCTGCGTTTACTCTGCCCTACAGGGAAACACTTCACCGTCTGAAGTGCCAGAGGGTTTTTGTTTGTTTCAAATATATAGACAGGTTAAAAATAATATGGACAGGTATATATTTAAGACAACAACACTATTTTATGCAAGCTACTAGTGAGGTAGTATAGCAGTCCCTGTGTCATGGACAATCTAATGTTTAAGAGCAAATGAAGATGATGATGACGCCAGTCATAGTGAAACTCATTTATTGTAAACCTATGTGTCCAACATCAGGGACAGTAACAATTATGGTTCCCACTTTAGTTATGAGTCCCACCTATGGTTTCCATAGGTGAAGAGACTGAGGCTTGTGGAAGCTAATATTATGTTGAAAGTCAGAGAAAAATGGGTGATAGTGTGGGACCAACATGCAATATGTAATAACAGGTCCAGTCCTCTTTGCAGTCTCTTCACTACCCACCACAGCCTGACCCTGCAAAGAGCTTTAGCTAGGTAGATCCTCTTCCCAAAAGAGGAAGGGCCACCAGTGCCCATTCAGAGGTCAAACCCTTGTTGACTCAGAGCAGTAGATATTGAAGATACCAGTTAGTAGCACTTGGAACCAACACCTTAAGGCTGTTGGAACTGAGTGACATGAATGCTGGCACCCCTTTAGAAAGGAGATATGTGATTGGGGAGAGAATTCTGTTTATGTGCATTCTAATGCACATCACATATTTATCAGCACTCAGCAACCATCCACCACAGTATCCTGGACTTAGAACAGGAAGCTATGAACATTTTATATGTTTCCCATGTTAGCACATCCCTTTTGTGAGAAATGAGGGGCTGCCACCTCCTCTCATGTTTTGCCCAAGGCTGGACCTATCATTTGAAACAATATCTGACTTATCCTGGCTGAAACTTTGACTCCCACTCATTACCTACTAAGACCCTCTTTGTGCCAACTTCAGTGGGAGTCAGAGAATAGAGAACATAGTTCAGACAGATACCTTAGGCATGAACACATGTGCGCGCACACACACACACACACACACAGAGCACCCTCAGTTTACTGGCATTTTCCTTGCATCATTTATTATCTCTCAAGAGTCTCTCATAACATATCTCTCAACAGTCAACTTGAAAGACGGCCTAAATCGAATTCAATGAAAACCTCACACTCCTCTTTTTCTTGCTGCTCTCTTTCTCTGGGTCTCGCAGCCTCCATGACTATCACTACTTGCTGCACTCACCCATGGCCTTTTCCACACGAAGGGGATCTGGGGTCTCTCGCTGTAGAAAAGAGAGGAGTTGTTTGCTGGAAAGTCTACATCCTCAAACAAGATGCCCTTCTGTAGGGATTCTTGCCTCAGCTGCTCAAAGCTCTGGCCTGAAGAGTGAGTAATGCGGGCATCCTTGGGAGTTTGGTGCTCCTTTAGTCTTGAGGTCCGGTAGAGGTAAGGCATGATTGCTTTGGCTGGCAAGCTTGTGGTAATAGGTGAAAAGAAGTGAGATATGAATGCCAGTGAGGAAGGAACCAGGTGACCTGGGCTGAGTGACCTTTGGTCTCTACTTTTTTTACTCAGGAACCTCCCTGACAGACTGACATGGTGCACACCCTGATGGCAAACTGTAAGGATAGTCCACTGCTCTCACAGAAACTGGTGCAGACCCAGAAGAGCTGTGAGTCCACGCCTAAACTGGGAGAGCCTCCTGAGAGAGCTTCTGGGTCTTTTCTAAGAAAGGAGAGCAAGAAATCAAATTAATCAAATAGGCGGCAGGATGCATTTGTTCTGCAAATGGGAAAATTGCACTATATGATCTTGAATTACACCTTAAATTTTAAAATTGTGAACTTTAGAGATGAAAGGAAGCTTAGTGAATCCTTATAATATGTAAGACATGAATAGAGTTGACAAAGCATTCTCAAAGATTATTTCATTTCTATTTGGAGCAGGTTTAGCCAACTTTATCTATCAAGAGATATATAGTCAATGTTCTTATCTCCTTGGTACAGATCACCTGTGTTGCAAGTACTGTACCTTGTAGATATAGCGTGAAAGTAGACTTGGGTAAGTCAGGACCCAGGACAGGCTATAACAAAATGTGCCCAAGTGGCATACTGATTATTTAGAACTGAAGGTTATTGAAGAGTAACATAACCAAGAAGTATGTTCTGCCCAATTACCTGTCTTCTTAAAAACAGAAAATATATCCTTTTCTGCCTGCACCTGGAAGCTGGAAACTGTCTTATCACCTGAAACTATGATTATGAGGGTTTATCCTCTGTTTTAAAAAAATCATGCTAAATTTATTTGTATATTATATTTAAATCAAGAAGTTTTTGATCCTGCCTTTTCCTCACATTTTTTTCTTTTTGGGTCATACCCAGCGATGCACAGGAGTTACTCCTGGCTCTGCACAGGAATTACTCCTGGCGGTGAGTCGGGGGACCATATGAGATGCTGGGATTCGAACCTGGGTTGGCCACGTGCAAGGCAAATGCCCTACCCACTGTGCTATCACTCCAGCCCATGATCTCATGTATATGTATCAAATTGGTTCTTTTCCCTGCTAAACTGGCCTGTTACATTTAATTCTTACATTTAAAAAGTATGTCAGTCAAGAAGAACAGATAGGGCATAGAAGAATCTCCTTTCCTTTGCGTATACTATGTAAATGAATGTATTATGTGCTAATAAAACCTTATTTACAAAAGTAAGGAGAGGCTAATTCTCATACTATTGGAATTTGGTGACTCATATGTGATACTACTGACCTCACAGAGCACTCTGCTTTTCCTCTAGGGCACAAATGGTCACCACTTTTTAAATAAATTTCCTCACAATTGTTAAATATTTTTAAATATTTACATGGACTCAGAATACCCAATATTTAATTAGTTTCACACATTTTCTGTGGCAAAAGTTATTTCTGAACCTGCGAAAACTCTATTATACTTAGCTATAAAACAATCCACAGTCCAAGTGAAATATCCTAGGGAGATTTATTCTGGATGTCGTGAGTAGGTCTTTTTGTGTCAGTGATCTTTCACCCCTATTCCTGACCTTGAGGAGCACTATGACCTGAGCACAGGTGGACAGCAGTACCCTATGTTGCCAGGTTATTGTCTGCTGATATTTCCTTCGAACAAAAAAAAAAGTGAAATTGCAGTGTCACAGGGTGACTGTTTTCTTTTCTGAAAAGTCTCTGTACTCGGGGCTGGAGCGATAGCACAGCAGGTAGGGCGGTTGCCTTGCCCACAGCTGACCCGGGTTCAATTCCCAGCATTCCATATGGTCCCCTGAGCACCGCCAGGAGTAATCTCTGAATGCATGAACCAGAAGAAACCCCTGTGCATCACCAGGTGTGACACACACAAAAAAAGTCTTTATACTCTATTCCAAAGGGATTAAACCAGACAATACTCACACCAGTGGCAGATGAGGGTTCCTTTTTTACCTCGTGCCTGCCAAAACAGATTATTCCTCATTTTTGTTGTTTTTTTCTTTTTTGAAATGTGATATTCTCACCGGTTTAAGATGATATCTCATTGTTATCTTGATTTGGATTTCACTGATAATATGTGATGATGAACACTTTTTCGTGTTGGCAATCTGATTGTTTTCTTGAGACAAGTGTCTGCTCATTTCCTCCCCCCATTTTTGTTAGGGTTTTTGAACTTTTATTGTTGATCTTTGGGAGTATACTTTACATATCTTGAATAGCAACCCTTTATCTGATTGAGTGCAAATATTTTCTCTCATTTAGTCAGGTGCCTTTTAGCGTTAGCCATTGTTTCTTTTGCAATGCAAAAACAGTTTAACTTGATGTATTTCCATTTGTTTATTCTATGCCTTTACCAATGACATCACATCATTGAAGACCTTTTGAGGTCCAAATCTTGTACTGTTCTACCCATATTTACCTCTGTGTATTTTATGGATTCTAGTCTGATCTCAAGGTCTTTGATCCACTTTGAATTGACTTTTTTTAAAATATGTGATACAAATACAGCTTTATTAAGGTAATGCTGGTAACTTGTGCCTTCATTTTCATTTGTTTCCAGGAATATTTTTATTTACATTTAATTTTTTGATCCACACCCAGGAATAAGTTGTTTTATTTCTATGTGTTTGAGGGTTTTTCTGATCTTCCCTCCCAAAAAAACCCAATCACTCTTCACCACCTCCCAATTCAGTTGTGTGAATAAGTTAGGTTGCCTTTGGATATTTATTGCTAACTTGCTGTGTATTTTAAGTCCCATCTATGAGAGAGATCATTCTGTATCTGCCCTTTTCATTCTGACTGACTTCACTCAGCATATCCTCTAGTTCCATTCATGTTTCTGGAAATTGTGCGATTTTATTCTTTATTGGAGTTGCATAGTATTCATGTGTCTGTGTGTGTGTGTGTGTGTGTGTGTGTGTGTGTGTGTGTGTGTGCGTGCGTGCGTGTGCCACAAATTGGGCATTTGGGCTTTTTCCATATTTTGGTTATAGTACTAAGTGCAGCGATTAACTAGATGTGTATGTATCCTTTCAAATTAATGTATATATGTTTGGGGGGTGGGTAGATGCCAAGAAGTATTATTTCTGAATCATATGGGAGTTCTAGTCTAATTTTTTCTGAGAAATATCCATATTGCTTTCATAGAGGTTCCCACCAATGGTGAATCATGGTTCCTTCCTCACCACAACCCTGTCAATACTGACTATTTCCATTTTTTAATATGGCATTATTCTCAAAAATATGAAATGAAATCTCACTGTTCTTTTTATTGGCATTTCTCTACTTCTGAGTAAGAATGAGCACTTATTTTTTATATTTTCTAACAAAAAAAAGTTTAAAATTGGGGAGAAGTGATGAACAGAAGTTTACTCAAAGCAAACAAGTAAATGGTGAATAGATATACAAAAAAATTGCCCTGCATCACTGGTCATTAGGGAAATTCAAATCAGCAATGTAATTTCTGAGATTGGTACACAGCAGAAACATGGGGGAAAAACAGTGTTGGCATGGATGTAGGGAAGAAACAACCCACATCCATCATAGAGAACATCAACTGATTCAACATTTTGGTTTCAAGATTTTGGTATTCCAAATTCAAATGCCTGTTTGTGTTTACCTATTCTAAATGATTCTTATATTACTTGCTATGAGAAAAGATAAAACCATGCAATTTGTTGCTATGTGAATTATCATCTAAGAGAAATCAGGCAGAGGGAAAGAAATTAATACAGAATGATCTCTCTTATATCCAGGATATAAAGAAACATAGTAAAGAAGTAACAATTGCACAAAGGCAATATAAACAAGGAACATAAGAACTGGTAGGACACTACAACAATGGTAAAGTGGTCAACTGGTAGAAGGAGGGTTTCTGAAAGGCCATAAAGTACTATGCATGAAACCCTATAAGTAAAAGTATTGTAAATCACAGTGCCAAGTTATTTTTTTAATGTGCCTGTCATAGAAGCAGACTAATGGGTGGGAGGAAAGCAGGAACATTGGCAGAAGTAAGTAGACACGGGTGAAGTGATTGGTGTTGGAACATTGCATGCCCAAAATTATCATAATCCATAATCCACGGTTATAGTACTAAATGCAGCAATTAACTAGATGTGTATGTATCCTTTCAAATTAATGTATATATGTTTGGGGGGTGGGTAGATGCCAAGAAGTATTATTTCAAGAAGTAATCCACGTAATCCATAGTGACTAAATAAAATTAAATAAAAGTTTAAAAGATCCTTCTCTAGCGGGTATGGTGCTGCCAGCAGGTCAATCTGTACCTGTCTGGCGAGTGCATCAGCAGCCTGATGGCGCCGTCAGACTTTCAGATACCCCAAAATTGCTGCTGTACCTTTGGCCAGACCCGAAAAACTTGGCGCAAAGTTTACCAAGAAAGTAAACGGCCAAAAGTTAGGTACATGGGAGACAGACCCACAAACCACCTCGGACTCCGCTATATAATTGGAGTCAGGGCGTCTCTGGTTCCTGATTGAACTGCTTAATGGCCATGATCCCAGAGACTCAGAAACAAATCTTGGAACCCAAGGGCTTTTAGCAGAAATGTGTCCTGTTCCTGCAGTAGGTTACTGGCGCTGGGCTACTCCAGGTGGAAATAGGTTTCGTGCCTTGGCCTGTTCCCCCTGGCGGCCCAGTGACTGCCATCCTCCAGAGGTCACTGGACAGTCAGGTTTGGTCCCGCAGTGACGAGACACGTGGGGCCTCACAGGATGGAGGCGGAGCCGGCCCTTTCCTCCCTGTCCCAACGAGACCCTGAGTCGCCACCCATGAATGGCCTCTCTGGCTCCTGATCAAGCTGCTTAATAGCCATAATCCCAGAGACTTAGAAACAAATCTCAGAACCCAGTGGCTTTTAGCAGAAATGTGTCCGGACCTGCAGTAGGTTACTGTCACCGGGCCACCCCAGGGGGAAAAGGGTGTTGTCCCTCTGCCT